CTTCTAAATAGATTTCAGATTGAATAGCTAAATCATGAAATTCGTTCCGATACATTTGAAAAATTAGGTCAACTCGTCAAATAGAGACGTAAACCATATACATAAATATATAAACGGTAATTTACATTGATTTACAAAAATTGTTATTTATCAGCCAAATGACTTTAGAGGTTAAATACAAGGTAATATTGAAGGATAAATTTTGCATAAGATTAAAGAAAATTTCCATATTGAAATTTTATGAACATTCTAATACCCTTTTTTCCTAGTTCTTACGATTGTGTTAGATAAAAATTAACGTTTTTGATTGAAATCATGAGTCACTTGAAGCTAGACCACCATGGAAAACCTGGAAGCACTGGACGGCCGTTTCGTCCTGGTATGGGACTCCTCAGCAGTGCTCATCCACGATCCTGCACCCGGCGAGATTCGAACACAGGGTCGTGAGTGTGCACTGCTGAGGAGTCCCATACTAGGACAAAACGGCCGTCCAGTGCTTCCAGGTTTTCCATGGTGGTCTAGCTTTGATTAACTCATGATTTCAATCAAAAACTTAACAATCTCCACAACACCTAAAACTAAAAATTAAAGTGTTGAATATTTGTTAGCTAAATAGTTATAATTACATTAAATATAATATTATTACAAAGTCTTACATTTCATGGTGTGAAGAGTTGTAAATATGTTTGGATTTTTTAGTCACTGAGTGACTTTAGTTTGACAAACATTGAAAGATTGTACAGTCAATTTGTTCCAGTTTGAGATTCATCTAGAATGTTCATCCAAAAACTAATCAAAGATCGAATCCTAGACATTCAGGTATAGTGGTGAGCGCTTGACTTATAGACTACTGAATCGTCACCTAATATTCATATTCTGACTTTAATTAGTTGAATATATTTTTAAGGTGAGCAATGATGATAATGAATAAAATGACAGTGAACGATTCACAAATAAACCATTTAATTAGGGGAAAGAAATATTCTTCATTATACCAAAGTAACAAACAGGCGTTTTTAGCAGAATCAACTTTTGGAAAGTTTTGAGGATGATGAAGCCTCACTCGATAAATCTCATTGGCTTGTATGGATTAGAACCCGCTTTCAGAGGTTCACCAACCTACTGCGTGAATGTGGTTTCAGGGGTAAATCGTTAGAACTCCCAGGTCTTGACTCACGGGCGATGCACCAAGAGTAAGTATAGTCTACATGCATACCGGTAACATACAAATTTTCCCTCATGCATCCATTAGCATACATAAGAGTATGTTCACCCACTTGAGAGGATAAATGGTCACCACTCGCTTTGAATATATTTGGTACAGCTGACTGTCTCTTAGGCATTAAGAGCTTTCTCCCCTGCATACATGTAAACATAAGAACCCTTTAAGGGGTGGTTGATGATCACCTCTTACTAGTATTTGCTACCATATCTTTTTATTAAACCTTCGACCCGAAGGATTGGGCCTCTGATTTTATAAAACATAGGGCAGACATTTTTCAGCTTACGTTCCATGTGCTAACCTACGTGCATACCCTCCATGTACAAGCAATATAAGCCGAGACTCATGCAATTCATATATATGAAAACATACACATCAGGCAGCCTGTTACGACGTTTAATGCCTCGAAGAACGAACACGAGTAATCAAAGCCCAGCATACGAGCGGTGGTTTAGTCCGATCTCTACCGACCGCCCGAATCAGCCGACAAGGTTGCTCATAAGCATCACGTGGAGTCATTGAGCTATATTTTGCCTCCAAAGTAAACTTTTTATTTTCGTGAGATAATATTCATTGACAGACTTAGTCAACACTGTTTTAAGAAATTGTTTCTTTCCCATGTAATTAACAATAATACAACTAAATGAATATTTTAATACATTGTCATATCTGTCAACCATTCAATCATAGGAACTATTTCCACCATTATCGTATCAATATAACTTTAGCAAAAGTTGTTTTTTAAAGTATCTGAAAAAACAATATTGATTTCGCGTATATTGATCATTGAACATGTTAGAATGATAAATTTGATGTTTCTTGTCAGATAAGTTATTCATACTTCATTTGAACCGATGTAACTAACACCCCTAGCGTAAACCATCTGAGTGTGTGTGTATATATATGTTTGGTGTTTATTAGGAACTTAAATATTTTGACAAGAATGGAACTTAATTGGATTCATCACGTTAGCATTTTTGTATTATATGAAAAGAACTTTATACCTTATTGACAGAAACCAATTTTTAGCGGAAACAGAACTTTATGAAAACGTCTTGATATAAAAGATATTGGCTGTTATCCACTTTAACACTACCATATATCAATCTACAGATCATTTAATTGTGCTTATAATGAAAACAGTTTACTAGTTTATATTAGAAATTTTCAAGTTAAGTATCTATTTTTGAATAGTTCATTAAAACAAATAAGAAGACCATTGTCCTATTGTATAAATACCACATTTAGTTTATAATGTTTTACATTTGATATAATTATTTATTTACATATGTTAGCTTCCTAAAGTGTTAAAATGCTTCTAATCTAATAATGAAGCAAAATACCTCGAAATTCAAGTTGAACTACCAGTATCTGGGGAAACAAGAAGCAGGTGACATTGGAATTTATGGATCATGTATATATTGTATGGTGACAAAATGATATCCCGTAGGAGCTATGCTGGTTGTGTGAATCATTGTAAAACATTTACAGGTTTGATGAATGTGGTAATATTGCTTACTCTGTAATCAAATAGATGGTTTTGAGTAAAGTGATCATTATTATTATTTTGACTTTCTTATTAGAGTTAAGTATGATAAATATGGATATCCATATTAAAGATATTATAATGCTACATAGGTAATTTCCTAAATGACTGAGTATCCGAATCTATTTTGAATTTGTATCTGCAACGTTGGTTTAGAATCAGGGTTTCCCAAAGACATTAGGTGGTTTTTCCATATCAGTCAATCCGGTTAAACGCCCGGACATTCTCATTTTGTCCTCTCAATTTCGTAAATAATACCTCCACCGCAAGAAGACAGTGAGTAGGACTTCCCTGACAGTGGCTTCATACGCGTGGCCATGTGCTAGTATTTCGAGAGGGAGAGCTGACTATCCCCACTCTCGGCCGTACCAGGACATTTGGGGACATTTCTTGTTTTAACGAAACTATCGTACTTATCTTGAGTGACACTTTACATGGTTGCAAAATTTTAATACACATTCATCTATGAGTAAGCACTTAAATAATATAATTCATAACCTGTCGCTAGAAAAGTAACTCAATTTAAATTTTTGTGGTGGTTTTATGTTGATTATGCATATTCTAATGTCTATGATCAAATGCCTACATTTTAAAATTTCAATAATATCCCTACAAATACCCATTCCCTTCATAGTAAATTAATTTATGTCTGGGTTACTTATGATTTTGTAAATAGTTTCCGAAACAACTTTCTATACTTTACATAATGCTTGCGTACAGTTAGAATGACGTCCTAAGATAAAGATGTGGAAACCGTGAATATAATTTTTTTTGATCATATGTCAGCAATCAGATGGTTTAATTATAAATTGGTTAAAAACTAAGACAAGAATAATTTGCTTTCACTTATAATTTTCTTAGAAACCTTATTCATTATAAGACAACTGTTGACTGATATTTCAAATTAGCTCAAAATAATTAAAAGTTACTATATTAAGCCCATATGACATATTTTAACATTGAGTTCATCTTTACATACAAGCAAACAATGAATGGATTTCTCACTATCTCAGTTTTCTAGAGAAATAAACATTGTCCAGGCTCTGAATAATAAAACTTTATCTTATGTCATTAACCAAGAAACTTTCTGACAGTGACTTTAATAATTTAAAATGTTTATCTTTTTTGTTTTCTAGTGTGAATACATGATCTGTTGAATAATAAAATGAATGAATGCCTTACTTAGTATGAAATAAATTAGACAGAACAATGTGTTTAACTTTATCACTTACGATAATATTTCCCTTCACTTACATATATATATATATCAGTTACATGGGTTGGAATTCAGTTTCATCGTTTATCACCATATTACACCTAATTAGAATTCTGAAGTTTAATTAGATATTATTGGTTTATCATAACTTGTTCATTAGTTTATAGCAGTTAATGCTAACCACTGAAATCTATATGTGAATTTAATTGGAACATTGCCTATTTGTATGATCTGTAAAATTAATTAACACATCTTCATTCCCTTAATTATTCATAATCATTCTAACTTCATTTTGTATTGTTTACTTGAATCTTCCCATTAATATTTAAGAGTGCAATCGATTAGTCTTTTATTGGCATATGTGTATACTGTGCAGATTGCCTTGATATTGCTTGAAGTCCTACTCATTATAAGCAGAGGTGAATAGTGGCTAGAAGTGGAATCCAGGACGCAAGTTTCATCTTATTTAGGACTCGTCAGCTGAATGTACCTGCATCTCTCAGTTGATGTTCACTCTCGGACTCCAACCCAGCACTGTTCGCTTCAAATCCCATCGCATTATCCACTTAGCTACTGAGTCTTGATAGTCACTTGCTTGTGCAATGGGGTGAATTTGAATTCACTTGATATTGTTTGTTTGAATCTTCCCATTGACATTTAGGACTGCAATTGATCAATCTTTTATTGGCATATGTGCATCCTGTGCATATTGTTTCGATATTGCCTTAATTCACAAGCATTATAAGCACAGATAGATGGTAGCTAACAGTGGAATCTAGGAAACGCGTTTTATCCTATTTGTGATTAATCAGATGTATGTATTACTAAACATCAATGGGATGATTCAAACAACCAATACAAAAATGAATTAAAACTTCACCTCATTGTACAATCTAGTGTCATGTCCTAGATTCCACTACTAGTCAACATTCATCTTTGCTCATCATAGCTATTATTGTTTTTTTACACAATGATTACAGTATTCGTTTCATTTTGTTAGAACTAAAATAATTTCTTGTCATTATTGTTGATATTTTGCTGTAAATACAGATTGTAACAAGAAGAAATAAAAAGATACGTAACTTATTTAAATAAGTATTGTTCTCTTAGGATTTTTAACAAGTTCACGTTAAACGTTTTGTTTTATGGTTAACTCAGTCTTATTTAACTTGCATAAGGAAAAAGAACAAGAAGTTTTGGAGGCGGGGGCAAAGTAAATAAAAGAACTAGATTTCAATTTGTTTTCTTTAAAAGTCTTGTTATCATAGTTCAATATAGTTATTTAAAGGTTGGTTAACTTACATTTATACTCGCATAAGACCTCATAAATATGTTTGCTTTTTTTGTTTGTTTGAAAACAACTACTTAAAAAGTACTAAATAGAGTTAAGAATACATATTGTAGTGTATCGGTAAAGCTTAATTGTTAAAATAACGGTTTTAATATGAGTAGTAACATTGAGGTTTTTTCAAATAAAATTAAAATGATATCATTTGATGTATGCAATTATTTGAACATTTGTATATGTATGTGTAGGTATGAGGGGTATGCGCTCATAATCACAAAACAACAACCCATGATATTCAATACTATTTATACATATACGTAGACATAAGATTCATAAATGGAAATCTTTACAAGCTCATTAAAAGTTTCTTTTCAAATAAAAAATAGGAATTATAATGGTGTTATTCATAGGAACGGTAACGTTCCCAATTATAATATTAAAAATGTATACATACCTATCAGTACATATATATATATATATATATATATATATATATATATATATATATATATATATATATATGCCTTCATCATCACAAATATTGTTCAGCTTTTGTGTACTTACGCAAAGTGGATCTACAAATGCATTTACATTGTAGTTTTCATTTAATTGTGGTTTCTTTTCTTTAAATGACACATATAAGTAACCAAAAGAGAATAAAGTACGATGATAAACTTTTGTTGCGAAATATAAAAGACAACGATACGCAACTATGATTAGTAGCATAGAAATAAGGGAACAAAATACAGGAGAAAAGAGAAATAAGTGACCCACAAAATCTGGCGAAAACATAAACAACAACATGATAGTAGACAAGTCATGGAAGAACCAATCTTACATAATTATAAGCACAGTAATAATAGGATTTTTTTGTATTTTTTTAAAAGAACCTAATAAATAATACGAACAGCCAGTGTCTGACTGGTAATTTGATATATAGACCCCGACTAATTAATTATGCAGCTTAATTGAAAAAACAGTGTACGTTTTATTAACTGGTTATAAAACCGGGATATAAATTTCTTTACGTTACATGTTTTAAATGACTAATGTACACAAACACATATACACACATGTAGACGTACAAGTCGAAACCGAGTAAATAATTATTAAACACAAGAAAAGCACAGTGTCTTAGTAGTAGTAGTAATACAATTTACAGAATTAAAGGTTCAGTGGACATTAAAAAACTGGAAGCATAAAATACAACAGATAACTTCTTAGTAACAGAAAGTAAATAGTACGTTAGGAATTAATATTGACTAGTTTCAATTGTTATAAAGAGGGCAATTCATTTTGATTCTTTAAGAAATAACTCATTTTATCTATTTATCTGATTGATAATGTTGACATTTGTCAACAATTATACTGAATAATGATCAAATGATGAAAGATATTCTAAAACTGCATTATAACAAAATTGATATTGATCTTCAGTTTGAACCATACCAGGTCGTTGTGTTCGAAGCATTCGTATAGTTTGAAACATATCTACAATTCCTTCATGTCTCATTCTTTCAAGAACAATGGATAAAGCTAAGAATACACCTGTTCTACCGACTCCAGCACTAGAATAAAAATAAATAAATTCGAATAATTTGTAATCAAAGCTTTTTTAATATTCCTATGAATCTATTAAATAATATTTATTAATGTACAACAATAAATGTTAAACTTATAGAACAGTGCTATTATATATTGAAGAAGTTAATCATTATTAGTACTGTAGTAATCAAAGACTTGTTGAAGATAACCAATTTGTTATTTAACGCTAGATCACATAGTGGCTTAGTAAAATGTGAAAATTATACAATAAATATATCATTTGCACATCTTCTTTGAGTTATCCTTTACACATTTCCTTACTCCTCTAGTTCTGTTGTTTCGATTATTCTCAGATTCCCCTTCTGTTCTCTTCATTGTAACCTTCTGCTGCCAAGTATTTCATGTCTGATTAATGCTACATACTAATTATCTTCGTGAGCATATGTAACATACATCACAGTAGTAGTAAATGTTAGCTCAAATTATAATCAAAGTAAAAATATATTGTTCAAGAAAGTAATGGAATTTTATCCCCCAAGAACTTTCTTGTAAGTTGTGAGAAAGAATTCACGGGACTACTAATTAAAGTATTTTAAAATTTTACAACTAATTAGAGATTTAACAAATTACAAAGGAAGTAGAAGTGTGTTATTTTGTTCTGTATTGCCCACTTTTGACTAACGAAAATTATAATGGGGAAAGGTTGTTATACACAGTATTTATTAATAGATAGTGCTATCAATCTTCTGTGTAAATTTCATCCTTCAAAATTTTATACTGATATGGATTTTAAATAGTTTTATATCCAGTTTGACTTGACCAATCGTAGATGAATAATTTAAATGGTCAAGATTCTATCATTAATTTTACGGCTGTAACTTTGCAAATACTCTGAAGAGGTGATTCGAACCGTTTTCTATCCTTGTCAACCAATATTAGGGATATGATTATTTATTTATGCATATTCGTTGTAGATAATTACGGAGTTGATCACTATTCTGTTTCGGAATAGTATAAGCAATGATTTGATTGCATCGATAAATTCATCATCAACAGTGGTATGTTATCATACCCAAAGCCTTAATAAATCATGCCAGACAATGTAACGTATAGATAACTAAGATTAGTTCAGATGCTTACTTTTTAATTAACTTGTGCAAATTTATGACATATTTCTTTGTATTCTAATGTTCTGTACACTTTATATTACTGACGAACAACAATCGACTAGTTCACTTATTCACAAATAATAAATGATTTCTGTATGTAATTGTTTACATAAAAATCACGGAACAATCGGCAGCTTTTTCATTCTGGTACGAAAGTGTGCTTCCACAACCCCACCCGGGATCTAACTTACGACCTTTAGGTGTACCTGTGAGCTCCTAACTTTTAAATGACTAAGTCGGAATCCAGTGGTTTGTATGTTTAGCTCTAATTTATTTGTGATTTTACGGAGTTCTATACTAACAACGAAACAAATATCCAGTTCTTCCTGGTTTTCAGTGGTTGCCTAACTAAGATCAATCCATTATGTAAACCATTATAAACAATAGTCTCAAGAAACTGCTTCTAGTCAGTAGTATTCATAATAATTGAGATTTTTAAAAAATCACAATTTCAACATTTTAGGCCCCTCGACCATTTTATCTTGATATCTAATTTGTTTTGTTCGTTACTATAGTTTGATCGACTTACATTCATTCAAATTCACATGTTTTATTTAGACCAGGTAAAGTATTAAGTAATGCTGAATTAGCTCTATTCTAATAGGTTTTCCTTTAAGGTATTTGAGATGCTTTAATGCTATCGTCTATTAAATTATTCTTTCCTTACACAATCCATGAACATTTTTTTTCTAATACTTCAGTGGTACAGTGGAACTTGAAATACATTGATTGAAATACCACAGCAGGATTGGAAAAATCGTATTTTTCATTTAGAAAAAGCATTTCTCCAGTGTTTTAAACATCGGTTTATTGCCCTGCAATCAGTTAGTCCCACATTTTATTTTACAAGTAAGGCCAAAATATCATTTTAATCAACTTACCTGCAATGTATAGTAATTGGACCATCTTGTCCAAATTGTTCCTTGGTTTTATGTACTTGTCCAAGGAAATCAATAAATGCTTCGCAACTCTCAGGTACACCATGCTCAGGCCAATCTGTAAACTGAAATTGGCGAAGCGTACGTGCTTGACCATCACGTGCATCTGTTAGCTTAAATTCTCTCAGTGTGTAATTTGGCATATTATATTCAACCATAGGATCAACAACATAATACTGATATCTAGATGATCTTTCTGTTGGCCAGTAAGGATAACAACATTCCTGTAAAATGAAAATGCACAAGTTTATGTTATTGATGTGTAACACTATAACTTATCTACTTCAAAAAAACCTGGATGTAAGACCAAAGGTTCTGAGTTCGATGCTTAGATATGTAGTCGTGAATGCACGTTTTTAGAGTCTCATGCCAGGAGAAAACTACCGTTCAGTGCTTCCACATGGTGGTCTAGCTAAGATCTGTTAGTAGTTTAGGCTGTGAAATCGACTGTTGATATGAACTACCAATAACTACGGTTAATTACTTGACTATAGTATCATCAATAATCAGTGGAACTAGCTGGCTGTCGTTATTTTTGTGTGACTTACAAATATGTTATTCCTTACAATCTACATGACAGAATAAGCAAACAGCAATCAAACCATTTAACAGGAAAAAGTTGAAGCAAAACTCATTTGTTAAACAGCAGCTTTCATTGTACTTATAAGAAATGAAGATACATCGAGATAGACTATTCATATTATAACTGATTATCAGATTTACGATGATATATTAAAGATAATTTTTTGAAACAAATTCATAAACAAGCGACAATGACTAGTCTCGTGTTAAATTATTCTCGACCGAAATCATTTCTACGACAATTTCTCTTGATTACGACTGCGAACAGTCAAAACTATGTAGGTAACTTTTATGAACCAGCAAACATAATGTACTAAGGACTAGATTTCAGACATTCAAAAGGTAAATGAATAGTTCATTTTAACTATGTAACTAGTTATAATCAGTTTGAGCGTTTTTAGATGATATTAAATATATTCAGAATGTACGGCACTGTATGTTGGAATAAGGGTGAATTACTTGTGTGCGGATAAATAAATTTTTGAAAGAACTGTTAATACGGCTAGCTAATGAGTATTTTTACGACTTGTAGCGAGTAACAATGACTATAATAGAGTAATGATTGTTTTAGGTGAATAATACTTCCTGAAAGTGTAATATTATAAAGTGATTACTTTCCAACCAATGAACACTAAACTAAGATGCAATAAAAAATAGCAACAACTTACTCGACCTCGTTCATTCAGATCGGTCAACATTACAACAATGTTAGAATTCAATTCCCAAATCATTCTCCAGAAATCTTCCACTGTTTTTGCCATTGGAGCTTGAGTTGCAATATATGCTCTTCGATCGCGATAACTATCCACAAAATTAGCATTTATGTAGTCAGATCCTTCAACACCACGTATAGGTTGCAATGGGACACGAGTAGATTCATATGGCAATATATTCAATAGACGATTTTTATTCTTATTACAACCCTGTTGTGCTGAAGTGTATTTAGCATGTGGTAATCGAAACTGTGCCAATTTCTGAAGTAAGAGTATTGGTAACAAGAAAACATTCAAACTTCATGACGAAACTGATATATATGGGACTATGATTATTAAATAGAGTAGAAATATGGGATGACACCCATTTAGTTCTTATAAATTTTGATAGTATTTGTTTATAGATTTATACTACTTAAAATTCATTGAATGTAGATATGTGCTCCTTCTTACCAATTGTTTAGCAACTGAACATAACAATGTTCGTTCAAATGTTCCCATTTGTATATGACTGCAACCGATCGGTCTCTTTCGACATATGTGCATCCTATGTGGAGTGTCTTGATGTTCCCATCAAGTAACAAGCATTGTAAGAAGAGTTGTATGGTGGCTAACAGTGGAATATGAGACACACGGTTCGTCCAACTTGGGATTCATCAACCGGATGTACTTGTATCTCAATGTTGATGTTCGCTTCCGGACACGATTCAGATTTCGCTGCTAGGCAACATCTACCTCTGTTTATAATCCTTGTGACTTAAGAAAATATCGAGGCAATCCACCACAGATGTACATATGCAAGGAACAAACTGATCAAATATAGTCCTAAATATTAATGGAAAGGTTTAAACAGCCAATACGAAGATAAATTAAAACTTCACTCCACTGCACAAGCTAGTGACTATCAGGACTCAGTAGCGAAGCGTATAACGTGATGGCATTTGAAGTGAACGGTACTGGGTTCGAGCCTCAGAGTGAACATCATCCAGCCGACGAGTCCTAAACGGGACGAAATGCACATCCAATATTCCACTGCTAGCCACCATTCATCTTTGCTTATAATGGTACGATTGTTTTAATTATAATAAACAACATCTTACCCTATTTTGTTCGTTTAAAATGTTGTATTTAAAGTTTATTTAGTATGACAGTATTTTATCGATAAGCTTCAAAGTATAAAACGTTTGGTTCCTATAATTCATTATAACTGAAAAAACCTAATAACATTTTTCTCTAAACAAACTATATACCATACTATACACATTGTAAGTAGTAAGGAAAATGCAATGAAAATGTTTCTCTTTAAGTTACTTCATTTTTTTCATTGAATTCATTTCATTTATCAATAGGAAACTGTTTCCCCTCACCACTATCTCATTATCACAATAAACAATTCGTGAAGAAAATATATTTTCAAATTTCGTGTTTATTTTCAATTAAGTGATATGTTATTGTTGAATAAATCTTCAAGTAAATGTTTTGCAATATCATTAAGAAGAATCAATGTTAAGTAAGGCTTATATTCAGGATGAAATTTATCATCTACATATGAATTCAATAGAAATATTTCATTGAAAAGATTCTTTTTTTTAAAGACAATTATGTATACTGTGCATATTGTCTCGATATAGCATTATATGCAAAGATGAATAGTGTCTAACAGTGGAATCCAGGAAGCGCGTTTCGCTTCAAATCCCATCGCATTATCCACTTAGCTACTGAGTCTTGATAGTCACTTGCTTGTGCAATGGGGTGAATTTGAATTCACTTGATATTCTTTGTTTGAATCTTCTCATTGACATTTAGGACTGCAATTGATCAGTATTTTATCAGGACACTTACCTATTGAGTCCTGATAAAATACTGATCAATTGCAGTCCTAAATGTCAATGAGAAGATTCAAACAAACAATATCAAGTGAATTCAAATTCACCCCATTGCACAAGCAAGTGACTATCAAGACTCAGTAGCTAAGTGGATAATGCGATGGGATTTGAAGCGAACAGTGCTGGGTTGGAGTCCGAGAGTGAACATCAACTGAGAGATGCAGGTACATTCAGCTGACGAGTCCTAAATAAGATGAAACTTGCGTCCTGGATTTCACTGCTAGTCACTAGCCATCCTTGTATATTAATCCGATTATCGTCAGTTTGCTTATTCGGAATGTGTGAATATTATGTTAGGTGGCTGGATGTAGTCACGATGGAACTTTGAACTTAGGTTATATGCTATTTGGTGCTCATCAACTAGATGTTGTTCTTTCCTTAATGAGACTATTTTTCTCTGCGATATTTAAACCTACGTCATGCAACTCAGACTGCAACTAACCTCTTGTGGGATTGAGAGACGTGTAAAATTGGTTGATTACTAATAAGTGAATAATATCATTTTTATTTTATCTTTTCTAGTTGGTCGGGTTTTGTTGACAGAGTTTTAGTGTATCCAATAGTTTGAGGGATTATAGAGATTATATAGACATGACTAGTACTAAAACGCCAGATAAACATGACCTGAATGAGTATCAAATGATCCAGCAATTTTAAATAATGTATGCTTAGTAATATGAAGTTGATCTGATTTAGAAACTGATACTAGCTAAGACAGTATTGGATGTTCGGGTGTACTATTTCATTTAAATCTAAGAATTTTAGGCAATTCACATTTATAACATTATACGGTACTAAACTGACGACCTTTGCATTTCATATTGGAGATGACCTGTTAGCCGGTTCTTCTCTAAAAACACTTATAGTCAAAGAAGTCATACTTAATAAACATTAGCTAGAAGACAGTATGACCAAAGACATTTGTGTTTTTACTTTTAAAACAAATTGATCCGTGAATAATACAAAATTACATAAATGTGTACTTGTTAAGTTATGAATTTAACAAGAAAAAATGTACCTATCATGAACGTTTCAAGGTCACTCATGGAACGCTTTATAGCACGTGTTGTGTTTAAAATGCTGTACGTATAAACTTCAAATGCATCATGATAAAATCTTTTAGCTGACCTTAGTCGACAACAAATTCATTCATTGCTTATCTGACTGGTAAACATATAATGGACCTCCAAAGGTTAGTTTTTTAACTTCATTTTATTACCACGCCTAGTTGAGCTATATTCGTTTGACTATAATATACTTTAGTGTAAAATGTAAAAAATTCATGAAACTGTGCTTTCGACCTTATACTGTACAGTAAGATAGAGTTACTAGTGAAAAATAATGACTGGAATGACCTCATTCATTGAACTTAATGGATCATCCCTTCAAATATTTTGTACATAGATTAACTTTGAAAATAAACCTAATGACAAATTCTCAATGAATTTCTACCACCCATTGTGATTTCATACGGATATTTACATAGAGAAAATCTTTTTTAACTTTCGAATAGCATGTTTTGAGAACTGTGATAAATAAATGATTTTTCCCATACTCTCTAACTCAAAATCAATGGTGAAATGACTTGAAATTCGGTAAACTGGTTAATCATTTATTAAAATTCGAACCTTTGGTTCAGTGTACAAACGCTTGATCAAGTGTCTATCGGATGTCTATCATTTTGGGTGTTAACCAATGCTTCCTTTTCTAACCTCGTTATTATTCATATGTATCACCATAAAATATCCATAAATTTCATAATGTTAATAAGATTATCAACGTTAAGATATGAATACAATGAGGGGTATATGTAGATAGTGTAATCTAATGACAGAAGTATTTCATCTAATTTGTTTAAAGGTTAGACATTCACCGCTACGTCTAATGTTCCTATGTTCGATTTCATGATAAGTATTTAGTGTTAAATGTTGCTATTTGGATATCGGTTGTTTATGAGCTAAATCCAGTAGCCGATTTAAAGTATCTTCATATAAGATAAACTTCAAATAATTAATTTTCAAAAAAGAAACATTAACTTACTTTAAATTCCAATTCCATACCTGAACCACCAGTTGCATCTAACATACGTAATTTTTTAATATGAGCAGATAAATTTCTAGCTGGTACTTCAGTATTTCCAGCATCAATTACTTCTAAAAGAGCTGAATGTATGAAAATGTATTGATCTTCTGTTTGAACCATAAAATTACGTTGTTTACGTAATGCTTTAACACAACCATAAATATCTACAGTTTTTTCATATTTCAATCTTTCTAGCATAATGTCAATTACAATGAATGCACCTGATTAGAAAGTATATTGTAAAAGAGATTGTATAATATTGAATGAATAACAAATTATAAATTAACTGAATGTAGTTTTTCATGATGTGATAAAGACGAATTTATACGAGTCTATTGAAGCTAGACCACCATGCAAAACGTGGAAGCACTGGATAGCCGTTTCGTCCTGTTATAGGACTCCTCAGCAGTGTACACCCACGATCCCGCCTCGCGAGATTCGAACCCAGGACATATCGGTCTCACGCGCGAACGCCTAACATTTAGACCACTGAGACGGCATCCATCAGTGTTAATGTCTAACTTCAACTAATCCACGAAATTGAGCGACACATCCGCCATTGTTTTCAGTGAGTTACTATCTCACAACAGACCTAGTTCAACTCCACTAGTCACTGCTTCTCACTAGAACTCCGGGAAATACTTCTTGAAGCCAGTCCGACAATAGAACGAAACGGCCGTCCAGAGCTTCTAGGTTTTCCATGATGGTCTAGCTTCAGTTAACTCATGATCTCAACTATTAAAATTACTATAATACCCATAAAACCCCTTCTGATATTTATATAACTGCCTTTTAAAATAAAGACGATAAGTTATCAGTTAAATTCAACACTTATACTAATATATGATTCGTCTATTTACTGAACATTGGTAAGAAGGATAAAAACAAAGGAAATGAATTTCCTTGGTGTTTCAAATATTTCATGGTATAGTCTGAGAATATTGAGAGTGTTACGTTTTGGTTTATAGAATGAGTCTTGAGTAACAGCTTTGAAATGTTATCATAAAATATACAAAATACAGACATGAAATATGTAATGGTTATAGGTGCTGATGACGTTTATATTATTGGCATGAAGGATATGATTTTTATCATTTAAGATAATATCTCTGATCGGTTAATTTGTTCATTAAATTATACAACAGATCATCTTCAGCAATTCACGATTTTTCTGAATAGCCTTGATAACAGTGAATCGTTTCAACCACGAATCAGGGAAATATATAAGAACTGACAAGTATTCATATAATATTATAATGATAAGTACTAGTGTAAAAATTAACACTGAGATGAAGCTATATCTAGTCTAAAAATTCACCGAAATTATCATCTTCGATTTCACTGCTATATACAGTATCAAATAGTACAATTACTCAATGCTAATGATAACTATTAAGATACTTGTTACGATTGTCATTATACAGTGTGGTGAAACAATAAATTGTTCTCTCAGGCCTTCTGTGATGGTTTATAAATTAACATGTAAGAGAATAATTTATTTTCAGAATCAACAGATGTAGGCAATGCTCAAATGTGCAGCCTATAAATTGATTCATCATTTGTTGAGTTTCGACGTCCATAAAATTATTGGATTTCAGTTTCCTAGGCAACTTAGTTACTTCATTCAGTAATTAAGCCATATAAGGACATTTATTCGGTTCGAAAACTTAACTTCCCATTGATCCACGTTATCTACTAAGTACAATGAACTAGTAGAATTTTTATTTAGGAGGTTCAAAGGATTTATGAACCTCAAGAAATAATGATTTTTTTCTTTTATAGACCTGATCATAGTTGAACAAGTTATAAAATACTTTGACATTTCGTTCATTGGAATCTCGTGAATTTTGTAAGACGACTGTCCTTATGTATGCAAATCAAACCAATACAAAAAATCATTATTTTAATGTACATTGTTACCTAATTCACTTATAAATACTATGTTTTTACCATTGTGATACAATAAATATATATTATCACTGGAGAGCCTGATGTTGACGCTATATAGGACGATTATTCACTCAAATACTTGGAAAAATTATCTTTAACACTTCAGAGATGAGTGTCTAAATGTTAGGTAGGAAAATTTAAACCAGTGAGATAATGAGTTACCTAAAAGCAAACGACGGAAAGAAAGTAGGTAACTAGGATGGTATGAATAAGAGTAGGAACTATAGTCGATCGATAATCCCTTTACATAAACCATATTTTTCCTATACTCCTATTGGCTTCTCTGTTCTTGTAAGTGTATATATGTGTATAAATAAGTGCGTTAGTTTTTCTATACAATGCTGACAGAATTCACAAAACTTTATGCCTGTTATTATTACTATTATTATTATTATTTTTATTATTATCTTGATATCCCGTGAGATTAAGCAGATCATTAGATACACAGAAATTTCGTTTAGGCTTCCGTATACTGAATGTAATAAATTACAATAAATATAGATCAACTCTCAAATTCATTATCTTCATTTATAGTACATTGCTTAGGCCTTTTTTTAATGACAATACACATTTCTTTACATAATAACTCTTCATTTAACTATATTGATAATGTAAGCGCATAGAAAAATCCTTCTTATTTTGAAGTGATAAACATAGGGATATTGAGTTTCTATCTCTTATTCAATTTCTGTACAGCATTTGATTGTTTTGTATACATAGTAAATTGATCGCTTATTCAGAAACTAATCGTGATTAAGGTTTGCAAGAAGGTTTATTTTAGAGGTTTAAAATAAAACACTATGATCAAAGTTGGATAGTGGCTGGCAGTGAGATCCAGGACGCACGCTTCATCCCATTTGAGACTCGTCGGCTGAATGTACCTGCATCTCTTAGTCGATGTTCACTCTCGGACTCCAACCCAGCACTGTTCGCTTCAAATCCCATCACATTATCCACTTAGCTACTGAGTCTTGATAGTCACTTGCTTGTGCAATGGGGTGAAGTTTAAATTCACTTGATATTGTTTGTTTGAATCTTCCCATTGATATTTAGGACTGCAATTGATCAATCTTTTATTGGCATATGTGCATCCTGTGCATATTGTTTTGATATTGCCTTAGTTCACAAGCATTAAAAGCAAAGTTTTATTTGATATTGGAATTAGTAATCAAGTTCAAATGCAGTGTATGTATTGTTATCTTTGAATGAGAAAAAAAATATAGATATATTTGATCTCATTAGAATATATTGTGCATTCGAATCCTAATTGAGAGGAGTTTAGTTGTAGTTTATTTTATTGTTGTTCCTATAGTAGTATTTTTAAGTATAATTTTAATGTAATCTCAATGCCAACCAACTAACTAACCTGTTCTTCCTACGCCAGCAGAACAATGAACAACAATTGGTGCTTGTTCCACATTATGATTGGATTGAAACATATTATTTGTATTCGGTGCTAGTGTAGCTCGAACACGTCGAATAAATAATAATAATGGTATAGGATATTCAGGAACACCATGATCTGGCCACCCAGTAAATTGAAAGTGTTTAACTTCTCTACATTCATCTTCAATTCCACGAGCTGTTAAATGAAATGTACGTATAGTATAATAGGCTAATTCAATGGTATCAACAGGTTTAACCAATAAGAGGCCACTTGCAAATGATTCTGGTCCACGTGATGGCCAATATTGATCACATTTAACACGAGAACGTTCTTCTAATCTAGTCATCATTACGATAATTGATACACGTTGTTCCCATATCATACGCCAAAAGTCGGAAAATGTCTCGGGGGTAGGACCCTTCAATGTTGAACAAAAAACGAACACAATCAAAATGTGAGGGAATGAAACTTAAAAAAGTACAATGTAACATAATACTGTTTACAATAAATATAAGCTAATCCAGCATGTTTCATCAGAGAAACTAATAACCTGAGATGCATTAACACATAAATGACCTAGTAATTTATATCAGTTAGATGTAGTGGTCACCTGTTCTATGTTGTACTATGGGAGTTTGAACAAGCATCATTTCAAATCTACTTTCATTATTTGCAATGGTTATACACATAATTTGTTACAACTATAAATTTATAAGATTTATGGTTATTATAGTGAAATATTGATAAGGCCAAATTAGGTACATGCGAGGGTTTGTTACTATTAAGATTAGTTCAATTATGATAATTTATATTTATAAATACATACACATGAATATATCTATATGTATAATTCTTTATGGGTAGTTTGTAATTATATTCAACATCAGATCCAAATTTCTAAAATAATCTGTTGATGATAAAAATGAAATGTTTTACTTCGATTACGAGAATAATTATTAAAACTATATTTTACACACCCATAAATGTACTTTATTGTCCATAGCTACTGCTTGACTTTACTAGATCGTTTTGTATAGAGTGCAAAACGATCAATATTATGCACATTAACGTAAGACTAAGTTGGTGAAAAATCGAGGTGGGCGGCGTCTGCTCTTACACGAGGGGTTATAGGCGTATGTGGATAGGACATCATTATGGAGGCTTCTCCGATACTACAGCGTACCTGCGAAGATAGTCAATAACATACGGAATTCCTACGATGGATTAATCTGCTAAATCGTGTATGGAGGACAATTGACAGACTTGTTCGAAGTAAAGACCTATGTCGGGCAAGGTTGCTTACTCTCACCCTTTCCCTTTCACCTGGTGATCGACTGGATCATGAAAACGTCGACATCTGCGGAGAAGCATGGGATACAATGAATAGTTAGGGTGCAGCTGGACGATCTAGATTTCGCAGATGGTCTGGCTCTTCTATCGCATACGTAACAACAAATGCAGGGAATGACGGCCAGTGTAGCAGCAGCCTCAGCAGCAGTAGGTCTCAACATACGCAAGGGAAAAGCAAAATTCTGCTATGCAACACAGCATGCACCACTCGAATCACACTTGACAGAGAAGCCTTGGAAGATGTAAGAATCTTTACATATTTGGGCAGCATTATTGGTGAACACGGTGGATCTGATGCAGATGTGAAGGTGCGGATCGGAAAAGCAAGAGCAGCATATTTACAACTGAAAAACATCTGGAACTCGAACCAACTGTCAACCAACGCCAAGGTCAGAACACTCAATACAAATGTCAAGACAGTTCTACCGTATGGGGAGGAAACTTGGAGGACTACGAAAGCCATCATCTAAAAGATACAGGTGTTTATTAACAGTTGTCTACACAAAATACTTCGGATCTGTTGGCGAGACACTATCAGAAACAATCTACTGTGGGAGAGAACAAACCATATTCCAGCGGAGGAAGAAATCAGGAAGAAGCGCCGAAAGTGGATAGGACTCACATTGAGGAAAGCATAAACTACGTCACAAGGCAAGCCCTTACCTGGAACCCTCAAGGCCAAAGGAAAAGAGAATGACCAAAGAACGCATTACTCCAAGAAATATAGACAGACATGAGAAGAATGAACAACAACTGGATAGAACTAGAAAGGAATGTTCAGTACAGAGTGGGTTGGAGAAAGCTGGTCGGCGGTCTATGCTCCATTGGGAGTAACAGGCGTAAGTAAGTAAGTAAGTAACGTCAATATCATATTTATGACTACCTTACAATAATGTAGCACATATAATGCACCTAGTTAACTTTATTTATTTGGATTATTCTAAAATAGAATTCAAGAAAAGGCTGTTAACAATATGCTTGACTACTGTACGAACAAAGTCCATGTTTGAATTCTAAACGGAATTGACTAGTATGACGTGATCAAGTATCACTTTGTCAGATCTTTTCGAAAAAGATAAGATAAATAAGACAAATACGCTTAGGTTTTATACTTAGAAGATTGGTCTGTTTAAGTCATTACAAATTTAATCTTTCGGTAAAAATATCTATTTTTATCAGCTAATCAGATTGACCTACCTGAGTAGCAATATAAGCATTCATCCGTCTGTAACCATCGATATAATTTGCATTGATATAATCAGAACCGGGAACACAATCGATTGATTGTAAAACAACTCTGGAATGGTCATAAGCAATTACATTAGCATAACGATTTTTAGGTTTATTCACATCAAGATTAGAATTTTCCCATGTGAACTGTTGTTCAGTTTCAATAGATTCATATTCTTGTGAAAATAATAAATTGTCTGCAGCCGAAAGTCGTGCAACGTGGTCTGGTAGAAGATTAACAGGGATCGGGTGATGCATCGAATGACCTAGGTTTATTTTTTAACCAGTGTGAACAATGAAAACAAAGGTCAACATAAATTAGTGAAAATTTCTTAAATATACAGATTCAAAAGTGATTTAACCAAATATTTTCAACAGTCGATACGTCGATTTATAGATGGAGGTACAGTTTTCAATATAGCAGAGCAACTTTCAGAAAATAATTTGTTCTGTTAAACGCGGGGATTTTTAGCTCGTATTTTGTTTAGGTATTATATACATGATATACTTAGACCCACTTATTCGTTGGCTTCAGTCAAATATTTTTGTTCCATGAAAAAAAAACTAGAAAGTATGTAAGAATCTTGTTTAAGTTCTGAGCACTACAATACAATACAAGCTCGTCTTAATGAACTACCGACTCTAAAACATTGCTATTTTATTTGCCATTTAGGTATTATTATTATTACGACTCACATTCACAATATGATGTGATGATTCTTCACTGTAGTCTAGTATTAGCCTAGAGGCAAGCAACTAATAAACATTAGTTCATTTTTTTAATATATCAGTTCTAACTTGATCTGTCTGTCAATGAAGTGTACCTTCAGTCTTATACACTACATGAAGAAATGAACATGTAGTCCAGGTGATAAAATCAATTCGTCTCCACAAACACAAATATGAACTCACCATCCAGGAACATAGTAACTATTAAGAAAGTATGATTTATGAAAACTATTACATTTGAAATTATACGTCATTGTAGGCTGACACTTAGAGAACATTTTTTACCAAATTAGAAAATCAGGGAATTAGTTATATTATAATTTCATCATAATCATCCATCTTATTTAAAACAACAGTCAGATAACGGATTCAATGGTGAAGAAGACTTGTAGCTCAGGTAGATGATTTTGATGGAGTTTTGTTCTCTGAGCTGAATGGTTTGATTGTGGAGCTTTCATCGTTCTTCTGAACGACATCATCAGCACAAGCTTCAGATAGAAGTTTGGAGAAGGGGCCTAGGTAACGTGATGACTTGGATCCAGTCGTGCAATACCTGTAAGTTGGCTTGGTGTTGCTGATGTGATCAGATTTGGTCTACCTGTAGCTGTAGACCAAACCGTCGAGCTCAGAGAACAAAACTCCATCAAAAATGGATTCAATAGACAGAAAATCTGAAAATTTCTTAAATGCTGAATTATCTAACAGATACTTTGTAAAATATTGTTTGATAAACAACTATTTCTGTATTAATCAAAGTAGAGTTCACTAAGTCTTCAGGATACAAACGATTATCATGTAAAAAAAAACAATAATTAATTCCCATTACACAATTATTTACCACCATCATTACTTTGAAATTTATTCCCGTTTTCAAGGTGAACACTTTCATCTTTTTTTTATCTATCGACTACTTATGAGACCTCCTGAAAACCAATATCAATAAAGTCAATAGTATTTTGTTTGTTTAATGTGTCCTGAAATTTATTCTTTAGGTCATATCACTTTTTCTTTTCCATTTGATGTTTTTCAATGAAATAAACTATTTTTTTATTTAATTGACAAGTTGTTAACTAAATTTCATTTCTTTTTTAGATGTCTAACAATAGTTTATACATAATGATCCTTCGATATCGGCTATTCTTATTATTGTGAAGCAGAATTCACCAAATGTTGGATTGTTCACCCACTAATAGGGAACGTGAACTGGGTTTAGACCACTGTGAGACAGATTAGTTTTACCTTACTAATGAGTAAATCAATGATAATTTCCAAATCTAATTTAATCTATTCATTTTGGCTAAACTTGACCATAATGTTTTCAATGTTCATTATGTTTTATACAGCAAAGTTTTCCAAATTTATGCTCAATAAATGTGTGAGTGCTGTATAGTAGAATGAAATTTTTATTGTAGATTTTATTTCACTCTGAGATTTGCATTATATTTATGATTTCATTCAGCCTGTTGGGCTGTTCTGTATAGACTTGTTTATAGTTGGCTTCTCTTAGTAACTAGATGCTTGTGCTGAAATTCTTAATAAATATTATGCTAAAATATTCAGTATTCACTAACTAAACGGAAAACATGAACGAAACTGTTGGGTATAACACATTTTTAAAAAAAAGACGTTGAGGATATCCTCAGTCCATTTTTCCATTGTATACTTAGTTGCTTTCATGTCAATCCATACTACGCAATATAATAGTGGTTGGATCACTGATATGAAGAAAGCAGTGTTTCTTCCATACTGGTATCTTCCTTTTTAATATATATCTTAATGATTTCTCTATGATAACTATTTATCTCGTTAAATTTAATGTTATTATTTACCTTTCATTTCAAATGGTAAGTGCGGCATGTCAAATGCGGATTCGGGTCCACTTTCAGAACCTGGTAAGCCATTTCTTGCAATTATTAAACCGTCACATATTGTAGCAGCATTATTTTCACTAACACAATTATTATTTATTCCCATTACATTGTATGCTGCACCTGTTCCACTGCCAGTTAAAGAACTTGGATGACTTCCTGTATGACTGCTTGAAGTCCCACCTCGATGTGAAATAAAAGGATTCATTGGTTGTTGGATTGCTGGTGGAGTATTGAGATTTGTCAAACCAAGGGAATAACCATGGTGTACCGACATATCGATTATTGGAGAAGGAGCCTGAGTAACGTGATGCCTTGGATCCAATTGTGCAATGCCTGTAAGTGGGCTTGATGTTGCTGATGTGATCAGATTTGGTCTACCTGTAGCTGAGATTGACGAAATTAATGAGGATTGTGGTGGTCCTGGTGATGAGGCAGCGATAAGAGTTGCACTTTTTAAGCTATCATTACCAACAACCGAACTACCACGTTTGTCGACAGAGGATGTAAAATTAGTATTTATTACTTCTATTCCACTTGTGATTAATGGAAAACTGTTTCCATTAGCTGGGCCACAGTCGTTCATTCGCATCAATGGTTGTTTCATTGTCGAATCATTTGGAGTTAAATGGTTGATTAGTTTCGGACGACGTTTACGACTTTAATTAAAACAGGGAGAAAAGTTAATTAAATGGAGTCTAATAAACCCAAATGTTTTATTCAATATACAATTAGACTTTACGATTTAATATAATACCCGATTCCATGAGGAATACAGCGGTGCTGAAAAGTTAGAATTCATCCAGTTAAGCTTATTTTTTCACAACTTGTACAGGCTACAGGCGTCATCACTAATATGGTTGTTTGGTTGGTTAAATTTTATTAACAGTTGCAACAACATAATAAAAACTGTATACTTTAGCTCATTTATAAAGTACAAGTATATGTAATCAGATTTAACTTAAAATATCTTGGTGGAAAATAATGATATTGTCCGTACAAATGGAAGAAAGTGGAATATGCTTTCAGTCCTGTGAAACACTATTTAAAAGCAAAGTACTTATCTACCAAACAATGTCCTAATTTACATCATGGGTTGGTTTAGTTAAAAAGCCATTGAAGTCTAGTGAACATTTTCTTCTTAGTATATGTTTCTTCCACAGTATGCAACTAAGATCTCACCTAGGACAGAACCGAAGACTTTCTAGACTCAAGGTCAGGGCTTAAACTATAGACCACTGAGACGGCATCTAACGTTTTACACGTCTAAATTCAATCAGTTCATGATACCATACGCTGGTTGAGAGTCCTATACTTGGACAAAACAGTTGTCCAGTGCTACCTGTTTTTTTATTGGTTGTATTATTAAAATCAGTCCGTGATACAAACTATGAAATTGAACAGTCTCCACAACATCCTATTGCATTAAACATTTTCTTCCCAAGAGAAAATCTGAATAATAGTGATAATAATTTTATGTAGAGAAGACTGATATTCTTACCGTATAAAACATCCAAATGCAATGCATATCACGACAATCAATGCCAAACTAACGATTACAGCAACTAGTCCAATAATAAATAGATCTCTGTTTGATCCCGTGAAACCACGTGTTAGGCTAAATCCTAATGAATTACTATTCCTATTATCAGATGCATCTAAATTATTTTTATTTCTGAATTCGCTATCTCTTAAATGCTTATTCATCATTTCGCTCCATGGTGGAAGATGGCGATCTGGTCCGAAACCATGAGACCATGCAGATGATGTACATGCTTCTGGGCCATCAGAAGTAGACTGATCTTCTTGAAATACACAGGCTCTAACAAATGCCTATAAAAAGAGTAAAATATAAATAAATAAATTTAAGTTTATATAGAAAATTATTAGTTTGCAGGAGATAATTGGTGCGCTTGCTTCCAATTTACTGTATTTTGAAGATGAATGGTTAGGAGCTTGTAAATGACATTTTATTATCAGTAATCACTAACGTAACATTTACATTACTTGTGGAATTATGCAACATGTTATGGATTCCTATACTTTAAAACACACCATTTTCATAAACCTAGTTTATTTCAAACGATAAAGTAAGCATAGATAAATTACTCTAAGCTGTCATGAAGGCCGTTTGTTTCTATTTAGAAATCAATGGGCTGTAAATGAGGTCATTCGTGGTAACATCTTTGAATTGAACAGTTAACAAATGTTTTTAGAAGTTGTTGGTGTGCCCTGTTGGTAAGTACTAGCTAGTGCAAAACATACGTATGGAGTTTTTTATAGATTGATTTCAACCACCTAATATTCATATATTGAGAATTTGTTATACATAGGTAGCAAATACATAACACTTAGCACTATGGAACACTGAAGGTTATTTTGAACTTGTTGTCAGAATGGAAACATTCGTAGATGTAAGTTGCTTGATTTCTAACCTAAGTTCCATAAACAAATTTTATATAGTAAAGTGTATAAGTTCAAAACGTTTCGGATGTTAACGAATAAAGAAGATGGAACATTAGAAAATTCTAGTATTCAATACAAAGTAACAACATTTTGAGCTATGTTCCTTTTTAATACTGCGATGGCTCGGTATTCTGGTTGACATAAAATCCAAGTATTAAAATGCAGATAATAACTAACCAGCTATTAATGAATACAGAAGAAATGAAAACAAACCATCAAAGGAACATTTCATCTACACTTCAAAACATGGAATAAATAGCCCAATTCAAGATTTCATTATTCATTATTTATAGAGGAAGGTACTATATATATCACGACATCTGAAAATCAAGTGTATATTCGTTGTACGAAAGCATTCTTTATTTTTAAAGCCAGGGATAATTCAAAGCACTCGCTTAAGACAGTAATCAATGGAAATTAAAATCTATTTTACTGTCGTCAAGTTACGTTTGGGATATATAATTGATTAATTGAGATCAATGTTTTTGACATCTTTGAGTATACATCAAAGAGTTATGCTATTAGTAATTTAATGTGAGTGTGAATCAAAGTGTAATGTGTTTGGTTACTGACTTCAATATCAACACTAGAACACAAGTTCAACTGGTCGACAAGTCCATAAAAAGCCAAAACAAACGTTCTAAATTCTACTACTAAATTTCGGCTAAAAATTATAATGAGGTGTTCACTTAATGCTCCTGTGTACTAGTAAAAACTGATGAAAGTCTCAATATCAGCAATGAGGAAATGTTAAATCATAGAAACGGTAATCCCTAATATACATTTAAGCAAAAGTCAATAATCAAGGAGTGTTATAATAGTCATTCTAGAAAAAGTAGAATCATATTAAATTTTCGAAACATACTTTGTATTCTTGTCCAAGAACTAAAGCTTTATTGTCAAACATAATTTCTGAGTCTTGTTCATGTAGAAATTCATCATCTGTTGTTATAGTCTGACGTCGAATTCGACTTGAATTAACATGTCTTTGAGGTCGATTTGTTTTTACATTATAACTACCAAGTGTAAAGTTTCTAGAATGTCTTGGCGGGGGATCAAAATAATCTTGCAGGTAACGAGCTGCAACATAACGTGTTTCTGAACTTGGAAGACCTCTAGATGCTGTAATTGTCTATGAAATCGTGAAAAAAAATCCAAAGTAGTATATTAATCATTTACCTTTAATGAGTCATTTTCGTCAGTGACATATTTAGATTAATAATTAGAGTAGTGAATACAAATGTGTAAATAGTACTAATGTAAATGTTGTGCTTTGATTTTTCAGATTTGGAAAAAATAGCAATCATTATTGTTCATCATTGGAAACAGCTTTATCAGAATTACATACAACGTTATGGCAAATACAATATTTATTTCTATCAAGTTAATCAGTATTACATTGAATCTGTTAAAATGAATGGTAAATTAAATATGGAAATTAAAACCTCTGGTTCACTGTATCTTATGTAATGGAACATGAATTACAAAGTCAAATAGAATTAATTTCAGGTTAGACATAGTAATGATCTAAATTAACTTGATCAAAAGAAAAAAGTATGAGAAAGAATTATTCATTGCTCACTTTATTCACAAATCAGCATCACCAATTAATAGTTACGAACCCTAAGCTATACTTTATCTATTTCAATTTATTCACCATGTTAGTATCAAAACCTTACACAAAAAGAATCCAACTTGATGTCGAATACGTGAAACAGTACATGGTTTAGATTAGATGTTATAATCGTTGAAAAACGGAAAGAAGTCAAAATCTGCTTCATCTAAACAGAGAACTTTGTTAGCGTATTCAGTGATAGGTCTCCATCAAGGTACATGGATTGCAGGACCTTCTCTCAAGACATCTAACGATATATAACTTAGAATGAATCATTCTGTTCATCGTCAATTGTGAACTTGTGAATATGCTAATAATCTTAATTAAATCATAATCACATTTTGCTTCTAAATAAATGTTTACTTGATCATCCTACTTAATCATACTGAATCACCTGGTTTGTATTAGTCCTTTGCAATGAGGAGTACATATTCCATCTGGTTGGTCAAGTAATCTCTTTTTTCAGACTGTTTTACATTCTTCGTAGTAGTTATTTCCATTCAGTTCAATTTTATTATGATTCGATTTTGTTATTGAGATAAGCACTTCAATATGTAGACAGGAAAATACTTTTGATATTGATAATAATTAGTATAGAATGATTCAAGATCAAACATATATACAATCCTACTTCACGTCCAAAGTTTCTATCGGATTATTATAACTGATGAAGATCCAAGAAATATGGTGTAGGTAGTGATAAATTTGGCTAACTTTTCATTTTAATTAGATATGGTTACTTTTAATATTTTACACAGGTCTAGGTATATCTGAAAGCATAGGGAAAATATTTCTTTTACTATGCCCTAATTATACTAAATATGTTTATTAGCTCAACTATGAAATTAATTGGTTACATTATCATTTTCTCTCGGTACTTATAATCCATCGTATCATCGAAAGACACTTTTTGAAATACAAAATTAATATCACTGAACTGATCGCTTCAAACGATTGTACTAATTTTGCTTGTTTTCAATATAACATTTATCAATAATTTTTTTTTCTAAAAAAAAATGAATGAGCAAATGAAACTATACGCTGCATAGGATTTGATTACCCTGGCAACAACAACAAAATGAATAGAAATAAATGGGGTTATTTTTTTTTGAAAATGTTTTTGACAAGATTTAATTCGACAAAATTCTGACTAGTTTTTTTTCTTAATTTTGTAATTGTGTCTATTAAACTTACATAATGAATGAATAAAAACTATTTGCATATGAATACATATGAATAAATAATTTCATTCTATGTCGGCTAATTGTAAAACTTTTCAGAAAAAAATAAATGGTCAACAATGAATGAAAACACCACAATTTTGTCTAGAGCCTAGCAGGGCATCCTATTATTATTATTATTATGAACTGGTTTGTTATACTGAATTTATCAGTATATGTCAATTTTCTCGTATATAATCATTTCAATAATGTATACTTTATTGAATAGTGTACAAATGACAACCTTTTTTACAAACCCAAAGAGGACAGGGTTAGACAAAACACATTTTTTTTTAGAAAAGTGGGTTTTTCCAATAGTTTTTTTTTAAAAACTCTTAATTGTTCCCAGTGTATATATTTAAATGTTTATTTGTTTTGTTTTTTGTTTTTTGATTTCGACAAAATTCAACTTTTATCTTTCACTTTGTCTCCTTTGTTTAATAGTGAATTTCTGTAATATTAAACATATTCTAATGGTTATTACAACAACAAAAAAACTGTCTCGGTTAACATTGTTACAATATTGTCATTCTAATTGTGTGTACATATCAAACTGTGTTAAATTTTTCAGTGGAAAGATGTAGATACAGCAAGTTTCTATACATCTATGTAAATATATATTTTTAAGAACAGCAAAGAAGGTGAACGTTGACTTAAATATTTTTCCCCTAGTCACGTGTATACTATTAGAGAAAAAATAGATAAAATATTAATGTACGATATTGATGGTAGTATATGATTTAACGGGGGGGGGACGAATGTGATGTGTGATACTTGTGTCGATAGATATAAGTTGGATGTAACACTAATTGGAAGTGGCAAACCTAACAACAGAAGGCTGTGAGGGTTGACTTAGAGAAAAAAGAAACGGAATAAGAAAGGAATTGTGAATCGGAAGAATCATATAGGATTTGTAAGACAAATGACGGAAATTTGCAAATGTAGTATATCATGTATGATCCTCATATTTTATCACGATCTTCTATAATTTTGTATTATATACATTAGATCGTTCTCACCTGTGTTTTCGTTCATTAGTCTAATAGTATTACAGCTATTACGACTGTAATTACTACTGTTTCTCAGCTGATTAATTTACTTTTCAGATTGGGAAACAATACTTATTCTACCGACCGATGTGATTGATGAGTGAATAATACCTAAACTGAATCGTAAATGAACAAGGTTTTAAATGAATTTGTTAACTAATCATAAGCCTTAACTAATTTTTAGCAGTAAAGTTAACAATTAAACTAAGTTGTCAGTAAATTAGTTCTAGTAGGAATAAGAATAGATCTGCATGCCCACATGGACATGAAAAATATGTATACCCATGTAACTATATGTAACCATGTATGTAAATGTTTGTAAGTAAATAATAGAGAGTAATTGACATATGAAATTATCAGAGAATATGATATGAATGGAGATGAATGTACATACAAACACAATACCAACATTCAAATAAAACGTGTTTATAAGAAAATGAAATACACAACGATTAATCTTCATAAACCCTTTTTTAAATCTGTAAAATGTTTGAAAGAAATCATTCTATATCAGCTTATAAAACTTATATTATGGTAGATGAAATCTTTAAATTATCCTCGAAATGTCTTATAAATTATAAATAATTTAAATGTTAACTTTGTTTGCTGTCATTGTTTAATGTTGTTGCATTTGTATTCAGGTATTTTAATATTCTAATGGTTTAAAGCAAACTCTGAAGTGAGTTACAGATTTATGATCCATCAATGCAACTCGAATTCTAACAAGCTTCATTTGGAATAGGGTTCAAAAAATAACACACTACAGTTGGATGGATTTTATAGATTTCGGTTTGATTTATAGATTGTACTCAACACATATTGATTACAACTGAGGCACTATTAAAAGTATGAAGGCAATAGAAAGCTTCTTATTCCTAATATGACAATTCTTAGAAATTTATATCCACTTTCCGTAGAGGGATTGGATCTAAGACTATCAGGCTACTCAGAGTATGCACAAATGTGCATTCAATCAGTTTGTAATACAGTGCACTGGTGAGGAGTTTCCTACAAAACTAATTAGTTGCTTAGTCTTTTTCAGTTTTCAATAGTATCTCAAATGAGCTCAACCCACAGTGAGTACACTTTACAAAATACAACTCAGTAGCCGTATGTTGAATTATTTATTCGTAATAATGAACAACCACATAAGAGGAGTGTATTGTTTTAATATGGATTGTGTCCTTGTTTTGCTCATCTTATACCGTAAAGAATCTTATTTAAAATACCGCTTAATTCAAGACACATTGTAAAAGTTTTTGTATACGATTCCCATTCAAATACGTTAAAAATTAGAAAGAAATATTCAATAAATTAAACTGAGCGTTCGTTTAATTCATAATAAACAACGATTGAATACATCCGGACTATCGAGAGTAATATTTCTTCATTCATTAGCAAAGTTAAAGTGAAATGTAAATTTAATAAGAATTTGAATAGTGTTTTCTAGGTAATCAGGACAATGTCATACGGTTACATACAAAACGCACTTGTTTGTAAAATTATAATTTCAGTAATTGTAAACTGAATTTGCGTATTTTATAAACGAAAAACTTACGACAATCTGTTATTTATCATGATAACTTTCAATATACCTTAATTTGTTCCGGCATGATTTCAAGTGATTACAATTGCTAGCTTTTTAAATTTTCTAGTAAACTACTTAATTTAACATGCTAGTAGTAAATTTTGTCATATTATTATAATAAATGGAAAAAGTAAAAGTGGACTTAACTCAAAATAGTTTTCTGTACGCTTGACACTAGAATTTTACAAAGAAATGAACCAATCAAGAAAGTAATGGAGTATAATATATTTCATACTTTCAATAAGAATGAATCATTAGTTAGGGAAATAAAAGGTTTTGATGTATATTTTATGTAAACGCCATCGAACACGTAATCATTCAATGCGAACTGCTACTTTATTAAAAATTACTGAAATATAAAGCTGATGATTTTCTTAGTGAACTCGAATATCTTTTAACACCAAGATTGATATTAAGCATTTGATACTTTGTAAATTGTTTCATATTATGTATTGCTTGAACAGGAGCTACATGACTGACCTACCTTCTGATTACATCATAAACATAAAGAAGTCTTTATGGTTATCCTAAGTATCTCTTGTAGAAATAACCTAGATTGTTCGGTAACGAAGATAGATCTAATATTTCCCTTTACGGTGCAACAATGATAAACATGCATAATGATATAAGTTATATCGAAGCCTGATTTTACTGACATACTTTATCGATTATAAAACAATAAAATCAATAAAATTCTTATGAATTATATGTCTTTGTGTAGTACCGTCTAGGTGAAAACATGTGATATATGCAACAAATGTTCTCAGCGCTGAAATGAGTTGTTACATGTCAAGAGATACTATGAACTCTAATTTCAATGGTAAGCATATCACTCTCTAAATAAGGTGGTTCTTCTCATATTATGAGATTATGGACATATCACAGAAAGGATTTGAACAAGATCGATCACTGTAAAGTTATCTCATTTATTCATATTAGTACTTACTTATTATACCTTGAGTATTTGAGAAAATTGTTGGAATTTTGGCTAAGATATTAGCGAACATAGACACGTAAAATTCGTTATATAAAAAACTTTTGATGGAAGTATAACAATTATCCTACAACCAATTTCGATTATGGCTCATTTTTCTTAAGCACTTTTAATAACTTACTTGACAGACAATGTTATTCGAGTAGTTACAATTCTCATATTTCTTTGTGCTGTTATGATCACTACATCACACGACAGACTCTAGCTAAAATGTTGATTGCTTAAATATAATTCGATGATTCATCCTCCTCCTGATGTATGTATGTATTCAGATTCTATGATTAGTCCTTGATTTGCCTTGCTGCGCCCTTTAGCAATTTGGTTATAAATTCGCCTGTGTAATTGCTCGTATGTACTTATTCGCCTCTGCGCTTCAAATATACTCGGTGTGCTTATAGATCTGTGGGCGAGACTATGATTTATGGACTGACCAATCAGGTATAAGATAACAAGTCTCAGGTTTTGGCGCAAAATTCAATCATTTATTCAGATAAATAGAGTTTTGGCATTATAGCTGATGTCATTTCGTGATGACAACTCTAAATCTAGTTTCTAACCTTAATCATCGACTGTAAATCATAATACCAATTCCTCACACAGGTTTACAACCCTCATTTGATTCTGGTTATTAGGCGGACAATTTCAAGGTCAGTCTGGCGTCGCTAAAAGGCCGTCCAAAAATTATAGTCCTATCAGCTTTGTGATCTGCGCAGTCCTCTAATAAATTGTAGTTGCCACTTCTCACTGACTTCTTATTTTAAACACCGTTGAGAATTTATATGATAACGGTTATCGAGGTGATCGATTAACGAAGCAAAGTCACTACCGATGAGATTGTATTGTGAAATAGATTAAGATTGTTTTATCTATTCAGAATAACAACAGTGCACAACTCAGATTTTGTTGAATGTATATTTTTCGTTTTTGTTAATGATAAATTTTCATATTCCATTTAAACAGTAGTCTGACTCATTGTTGTTCTTGTGTTCTTTTATTTTGTTGTTGACGAAATAACAAGTAAATTCGTTAGCTTACCAAAATGCTGAGTCACATAGATTCAATTCCAGTGAAAAAACATCTTTCAATTTTCAATAATTTCACAAAATATACATATATCTTATTTCTTTTTCCAAGTTTTTTTTCCTTATAAACACATTAACATACATATGAAATTCGTTCATTGAAGTTTAATAAAAGGAGTTAGAAATCTGTGATTATTTGGAGAGGTATTGTTATGACATTATAAGCATAGATGAATGGTGTATAGTGGTGGAAGCCAGGACATGCATTCTGTCGTATTTCAGACTCGTCAACTGGACGTACTTGCATTCTAGAGTCACGGAATGATGTAGGTATATCTAATTGATGAGTTTCAAATAGGACGAAATGAACATCCTAGATTCCACTGCTATCCACCATGTATCTTTGCTTAAAATGCACTGTTTTTGTCTAAGTGTTCTAACATTAAGTATCTCAGTAATTTATAGTTTTTTTGTAATTGAGCACAAGCACGTTCAGATAATAATCATCATTGTTCAGTTAAAAAAAGATCTGGAACATTTAGTTTCGCTGGAATTTTTACACAGTTGAAAAATAGGTGACCCAAACATTTAAGCATACTACTATGCACATTGTACTTCCTATACATCAACGTTAGATAATTTCAGCAGTGTAGTTAATGAGTTTTTCAATAGATCAGCTTTAACATTTTCTACTAGTTACTTCAGATAATACGTATTTAATGTGCATCAAATATTAAACAATGTTATCAATAAGCTCGAAATCTGAGCCTACAAACTTGTATTGATTATATACTCCTATCTAAATACTAAGAACAGTACGCTGAAAAGGCAGTGATCCTAGTTGATGGAATTCCATCAACACTATCGATCATAAAATATTGCGACTACTCATTTACTAATTTATTAAACCTTTCATAGTTTAATATTAAATAACTGCGCTAGGTTGTTTTACACTCACTGTTGAAACACCATCTCTACTGAATACTTGTTCAACAGTGAAGGCATCAGGGACTATAATCTATGTTCTACAAAGAAATTTAGGATTTTACGAAATACAGAGAAGGTTTGCATTAGTAAAATAGAAACTACTTATTTGATATTTATATGAAACTATTTAAAAGAATGGGAATTTCAGCTAAATTCATTCATTAATGAATAAATATAAATAAACATTAAGTTACTGTAAAGGGCGTGACGTTTTGCAGTACCTAAGAAACCACCTTATATATATATAGATATATGGGTGGACACAGACTGAATAAAAGATACTTTCATTACCGCTGAATAATTTAGTTCTATTTTGGGACGTTTTGCTTAAGTAGCATGTAATAGATAATCCGGTTTTAAACAAATAAAAACCCTATTAATCATAGATATATTATAATCTGTGTTAACCAAATCTATTCACTGCTTTTTTTCCAGTATACGAAATCTATATACCCAAAACTAAGTATCATGCTACTTTTCACCAAGTTAACAATAAACTAGACGTAAGAAAGGAAAACAATATAAAACAGTATTTTTACTTACTGTGTCTATACTTATCTTTTCTGTTGAACTATCAGCTAAATGAACAGGAGCAACAACTAGGAAATATTGTCGTATTTTCCCATATTGTTCACTAACACGACTTAATTGAAGTAAAACTTGTAATCGACTTGGTGATACAGCAACTGGTATTGGTGTTGGTACAAATGGTGGACCTGTAAATCAAAAACAATTATCAGATAATTTACGACAGGGTATGTGAAAAATAAAAGGTCTTGTGTGAACTCAGCTTCATATTCATTGAAAGAAAATGAAAAATAACATGTGATCATTATAATATAAAATTAAAAAAGTATGTTGTAATCTTCAGCAATTCCCTTCAAAACAGGTTTGAATTTCTACTGAGAAACAATGGGTGGAGTTCACTTATATCAGTAATGTGGTACATGCATGCAGGTGAGATGGATTGATTGCGAATAATAACTCAATAGAAGTTAGAAATGTGAACCAGAGGTTTGTAATTCACTAGTCTAGAAGAAATCGGAAACTTTTAGATCTTAAATCGAATCCGTGTAGAGGTCATAGATGTGTTCGCTTAGAACCCTTATACAAAGAAGTAAAATTATCAAGCGGTCCTTGTATTTTAGTGTTTCTTCTGTTAGTATTAGTCTGCGAGGAACATCGTCTTAGAAAATCTTAATGTTTAGACTTGAAGGGAAGTTTGGTCAATTTACATACTTGTGAAGTTTATGTTGTGCATTTTGTTTCAGCTTTTCATCAACCTTTTCTTTAGTCTCTACATCATCGTGAATCCCTTGACTTTGCTGAATTTCCTGATAGGAAACTGATGTGTGGGCAAGAATGATCATGATTTGTTGTCTGCTTAGTCAGACATGTAGATAGTCTGACAGCTGTCAGATGAGTTATATATTCCCTTACCTTATTATTATTATTACTCACTTATTATTGGTTGTTCATTGTTGTTGAATTGTGTCGATTTTTTGTGTGGAAATATATTTACGTTGTGGTCAAGTTAATCACGTGTTCTTGATCTGAGTTGTGTTGACGTCCTGTAGAATAGACACTGGGAGGGAATCTAGTGTAGATATTCGTCTAAGATAAGTTAACGTCCCATACGTGTAAAAGTGGAAACCCAACCGTTATAGCATAAGGCGAAGTAAAAAACTGCCTATACAAGTTATAGTTAATCGAAAATTTCACTTGTTCACGGATATTTTCATTTGCTTTCAAAAATTTAAACTTACGTTGCATTTGAGTAAAGCAACTTGTTGTTTCCCAGTTGCTTTGCATATTCAATGTTAAATCATAATATGCACTTAACTGTACGTCATAAACACTATTCGGCTCCAGATCACTAACTGTATACGTATAACCAGAATGTAATGCAGCATATGTTACACTGACACTACGAGCTGGAAATTCCAAACGTTTAATTACACCAGCATCATCAGCGAATTTCTTGGAGCCACCAATACGCAACTGTAAATTTTCGTAATGAAAATATACACAAATAGTATTAAATGTTCATTTGCATTCACTATATAAAACTTTTGTGAACTTTAAATTTTATGGTGGTTCTCAATGTGACAATGTTTGCAAGGGAAGTAATTGTTTATTTGATTAAAACACTATTAAATCACCATGTTATTTAGAGATATCTTAAATACTGTTACGTATTTGTCAGCACGCCCTATAATGAATCTTAGGTTGAATCGATGGGCGTGATGTATTTCAAATTTGCATCGTCTAGCGTTATAGATAGAGCTGAATGCTAACATGAACAAAACTCGGGTCCTCGTGATCTATAAAATTCGATGAGCACTGAGGACTTAGAAAAACATGACGTTACTTATTACTTAGTAGTCGTTTGCTCTCAACTTATTGCAATAAGTCATATGCTATCTTCAATACAAGATTTATCTTTGTTTTTTTCTTAAATAAGTGGCGAATGATGTATATATATATATATATATATATATATATATATATAGAGAGAGAGAGAGAGAGAGAGAGAGAGAGAGAGAGATTTACAGGAATTGTACTCAACTTGATACTTTGTGTTCTTGTATCCCATATAGGTTGGAAGGTACGCATTACTGAAGAGTATCAACCTGATATGAAACAGATTTCTTATATAATCATGTATTCAATATAATGTGTTTTCATGTATATTTATCACTACGTTAACTGTGAACACAACAGTTTCAATTATCGATGAAAATACAGTAAGATTTCAATTAACTTAACTGAAATACATCTTGATGAAAGTATGGAGAAATTAAGGATACTATGAATGATACATTTCAGTTATTGTGTCATTCAATTCAAGCAAAAACTTGATATTTATTTCAAACTAATCATCTCTTTATTATAATAATGAAGAAATACGTGTTATTACTAATCTTAAATATATTTGAGTAATACAATACAAGAAACATCCAGTTAATTTTATTGTCAGGAAAAATTAATGATAGAACTTATCAAATCAACACCAAAAAAAGGAACACTTCCCACTCTCCCTCTTGTTCTCAATCAAAAATTGATTTATTAAACCAGAATCTAATTTTGAATTTTTATTCAAATGAACAAACAGTATCATTTTGTAGTGAATAAAAAATTAATAGTCTGGTATCTAATTAATAATCAAAATGCGTTTGTTCGCTTGTTTGTTTGTTTCTTATTCAATTAAATAAATGAAGTCCTAACTCTATCGTCCTGAAAAGAGTTAAATAAAAGCATATGTCTATTGTAAATGTTGAATAATTTAGAAATGAACAGAGTTAGGTTGCAAACAGTATGAGGAGGAGAAGGAAAAAAACGTGCATATATCTATATTTGCATGCTTCATTGAACATCTAGTAAGATTTGTTTATATTCAAAGGTTTATTGATCATTTAAAAGAAAATTTGATCAGTTAAAGTATAGATAAAAACCAGTAAGTACTGTATAAATGCTTCATTATAGAAAGTGATACATGTAATGTCATACAAGAAAGGACTTAAAACATCGATATCATTCAGTTGGAACAAGTGGTCCACTTAATATGCTTCGGTATTATCATAATATAGTGTGAACATTATCTGATACAATTAAGAAGTTAGTGTTACACATTAGTCATTATTTTCTACTAGAACTTAGTGAAATTCATCCTTGGAACTAATCAGAATAAAGTTGTGGCAATTTCTCATCAAACAGCAGATAATAAAAGGGACTACAAGTTTTAAAATATTCCCACAAAACAACCTTTATTATTTTAATGAAGTCTCATTGAAAATACTAGATCTACGTTTCAACATCATGTGTTGTAATTAAATTAAATAATCAATTTTTATGTAATGATAATGAATTGTTTTTTACAAAGAGATATTATGGAGTGGCAAAGTAAGGTAGACATATTGGTCTGATTCATCAATGAAGTCCATAAAATATGATTCCACTTGCAACAGGAAGATGATGCTTATCTTTACAGTGGTGATCTCTCACGTTTCGCTTTGGACGATTCTGGATAGGTCTGGTTACATTAATACTAGAGTTCTGGCATTTTCTTTTTAACTGGACACACATGTTGATTATTGTCCGTTAATTATTACTCATATATTTATTGCTTATCAGATTTCCATAAGATATGACCATATTTCTAGATTGTCAGCTTTGTATAGGGCAGATATTCATCATCATTTTCAAAACTTAAAGTGTAGGGCAGTGGTAAAATTAACAGAATGCTATTTGTAACGCTGCACGATCAACTCTATATAAGACAGTTAGATAGTATTCTTTATTTTGAACAAACATTGTCGTTCAAAATTGATTTCTTAAACTTAGGATTATTAAATGAGTTAGATTATATTTATTTTCAAATTGTATAAATTTCCTCATTTTCTGATATTAGAACTGTATACTATAGTATACCACATTAACTCACCTATACTAGAAGCCCTCTTAGAACTCGATCAGCACCAAAGGTTAGATAAGCTGGCGTTTAACTTACCTCTTCGTATACTTTGTTATAAATAGTACGATCGACTACTTTTTGTTACTTCCAAATAAGTGATTATTGGTGTTAATATTATCATTATCAAGTTTGCGTTCCCTGTGTTATGAATAAGGTTATACATGAATAGTGTTAGTAATTTTGCATAAGTTTTAGATTTCATATCTTCATGAATAAACTGAATAATAATATGTTTTAAACTAAGTCATATGTCCATTGACTTTCTCTCTGAATTTCCTATGCAAATATAATTCCTTTGTCAAGTTTCTACTTTGAAAAAAAACTGTATCTCAACTGGAAAACTTGAGTAGTCGTAAATATTTATTGCCAAAATGTTAAGATTGATTTCATAAAAGACGAAAATAATTGAAGTAAGTATATTAAAAATCAATAACGAAGTGATAGCCAGCAAACGAAACTACTGGGTTAGACTAGAATTAAGGACTAAATAAACATGACAGTCACAAGTCAACGATTAAAAAACTTGTAAATATCTCAGTCCTACATGTGGTTAATTGTAGTCCATATGACTCAGTAGTAACATATCAGACTTCGAAGTTAGATGACACAGGTTCTGAACCTTCATCAATCACTGTCTCTCTCAAGATTGTAAGAATTTTTTACTGATTATCTCCATTCGCCTTACACCGAAACATAATGCACGAGATTTCTAGTCACTTACTCACTATTACTCACATTACAACATGATAGACAGGATTCGTTATAAATGTAAAAGACTAGATGAGCATACCATTGAATATTATCAATTTAACAACAAATATAAATTTGTAAATTTATTCAAGAGCTATAATACGTAATATCAGATAACGAATAATCAAAAACTTAAGTGAACATAATCTGATATTCAGTGATCTATCATTGTTGTTGATTCTTCCATTTATTAGGTAAACAGTTTAAGTACATTCACAAAAATGAACCATATTCCTATAAATTTACATTATTCTACTTTGTCTTCTAACTTTACATATAAGTTTCATTGTTATCGAATATCAGGTTAAATAAAATTTCTATATACAATATACAAACCAGAAAGTGGAGCTTTTAACATTGAAGCTTATTTAGTTTTTCCTTTTATTTTATTTTATTCCTTAAAACATTCGTTTGTTTCTGTGTAAACAATTACATTTGTGCGTGTTATTTAAAATGATAAATGATAAAGTTTATAATTTTTCACTTTTCTTTCAATTCTTTTTTTTCGACTAAACCTTATCAAAGTAAGAATAGTTGAAATTAGTAGTATAGTATAGTAGTATAGTAATACACAAATAAAAATTCAATATACATAAATTATGACCATAAACTAGGAATGTTTAAATATGAATAAGGTGTTATTGAATATAGTGTAATTTGTTAAGGACTTTTCAGGGGCACTTCTCATATCAAAACAAATACTGAAGGAAAATTTTTGAAAGAAAAAACAAATAAATTCCGACAACATAAATCATTGGCAATTTGATTTGGTTTCTTGGCTTGAAGAAATATTCGCAAGTATATACACTATTGGTGATTTACAGTTCTAGATTTAGAATGAGTATATATACATATATGTATATACACTTACATATAAGTCTAATTTATGGGTTATATTCGTGATAAATTCCTAGCTAGTTGTACATACATTTTATCTATGTCATTTCCCTATTTTCTTTAATCATCTTTTTTTCTCCTAAACATTTTGATAAATAGCATAAAGCTCATCTATGCAGCAAGATAATTTCCAATATTTTTTTAGACTTATAAAAATTCCGAAAAAAAAACAGTTGTAATATCGTTCAATTTGGAAGCTATATTGAAATACATAATATATACCTCACACCTCATAATCTCAACACGGCGTCTTTTTTAATCTGTCATGTATTAGAAAAACTATATGATTAAATATTCATTTTATTAACTGTTATATTTTGATGGTTGAGATCATGAGTCAATTGAAATTAGACAACCATGGAAAACCTGGAAAAACTGGACGGCCATTTCGTCCTATTGTGGGACTCCACGATTTTCCATGATGGTTTTCCATGATGGTCTAACTTCAATTGACTCATGATCTCAACCATTGAAATAACTATAATATCCACAAGACCCTTCTGTTATACTTTGATTAACTCTGATTAAGACTTGTTCTTCTCATTCTACTTAAATTACATCGAAAATCAAGTCAACCTAATTGATCACCTAGTTTATAAGTAGGCTATTAAAAAAATATATGTATTTATTTTAAAAATAATGCTCCCCATTTGCCATAAAAAGGTCTTAGTAACTATTCTGAAGATAGAAAATAATATTATTATTTTGAAAATATAGTAAAACTTGATAAGCTGTTGTTCATTTCTACGATTGACTAGTTTTAATACACTACTATGTGGGTTATATTTTTATTTCGAAATATGTTTAAGATTAAGAACTAGAATGATTGTTCCATCCTATCCAATAATTGTACTATCATCCAGGTGTTATTATCAAGACTGAGGTTTAAGCCTAATACCTAACAATTTCAACACTGACCCTTGATCTACTTTAGTTACTAAGTCTAGATAACCATTTCATAAAATCAAGGCACTTGTTCAATGTGTTCATATTACAAAATTTTAATTATAAAATGCCAATAACACAAATCTTATATAAATGACAAAAGCATGTCTGAAATAAATGTATTCTATCTCATGTATAAATAACAATTTCATAAATACGCCAATATTTTTTTTCTCCAAATTCATTTTATAAACATCTTAATGTGTAAAATGTGTAATTATAAATGTAAGCAAAAAATCTTGGTAACTAAAATTAAATTGCCTTTTTATTTCCATAAGCAACAACATGAAAATAGTTAATTGAATTCCATTTAGTATTTAATAATTTAACCAGACTAAATATTATTGTTAAGAATAAATTATAATTTATTTTATCAATACAACCAACTGATATAAATTAACTTTTAACCTTTTTTTGTTGTTGTTGTTGTTGTCATGGTTAATTTTGGTATCTATGCGACTAATTAGAAGGATTAGTTTAGTAGTCTTTAACATATACATATTAATTTAAATCTGTTTTGAAAGAAAGTTTATGGAGATAGAATAGAAGAATTAGTTATTTATCAAAATGAATAATAATTTGAATAAACTATATGGAATAAAAATGAATCGATTTGAAAACAAAAAAAAAAAAGAAAAAGAAAATGGTTCCAACTTATGATGTTCTCCTATCAAGTTTATTTTGTGAGTAAATGGGTTATAATTTGGGGATCTCATTTTAAAATATGGAATTTTAGTTCACATTAAACTTGTAAAGATCACAAAATCGATAATTAGTGTTATATCTACATATATAATGCCAACACAGAGAATAGATGAAATCTTGATGTGTGGCAACAGATATATTTTTACCTATTTCATTACAAACTTTTACTGTAAATAAAAAAACCGACTTTATTTAATAGAAAATTATATATAAGCAGAGATGGATGGTGGCTAGCAGTGGAATCCAGGATATGAGTTATGTCATATTTGAGACTCATCAGTCAGGTGTACCAATACAAAACGAATTAGAGTTATATATAGTCTATTGGTGATGTTTTTATCATAACCTATTATCCCCTGAAGAGCCATTGACAGTGTAGTAAAAATCAGCTGTCCAGACGTCGAGAATCATTAAATGTTTCTCTAGTTATTATCACTTAAAGAAGAAAGTATATTATTAATATTGAGTAATCACTTAGCGGTAATAATGTCATGTTCGTTTATTGTTTCAGTGTTAATAGAATATTGTTTCTAAAATGAATCAAATTTCTTTATAATTTGGATAAACTTTATACAAAATACAAATTTTCATAACCTAAATCTTGATATGATTTACTTTTTCTTTCACCTATAAATTAGCGATATTACAAAAAATACAATTGAAACAACATAACCATTTTAATTGTTGAATTCTTGAGTCAATTGAAGCTAGACCACCATCGAAAACCTAGAAACACTGCACGGCCGTTTCGTCTTGTTGTGAGAATCCTCAACAGTGTGCATCCACGATCCCGCCTCGCGAGATTCGAACCCAGTTCTTCCAGGTTTTTTATGGTGGTCTAGCTTCAAGTGACTCATGATTTCAACAATTAAATTACTATAATATCCACAAAACCCCTCTCTAATTATAATTTAACTATTGGTGACAATAAGAACAATATTGGACATTGACTGAAAACATACTGTAGTGAACGAGAACACAAGTGGGGACAACCGATGTACCTTGGTAATATGTGAGAAACATATATCAAATGCTTTATTTTAAAATTCCTATCATTTGTCGTTCATGTTATGTATGATTCTTCCAATTCGAAATTCTTTTCAAATTTCCTTTTCCATTCTCTTCAACTTGATCTTAACCTTCTGTTGCCAGGGTTTCCACTTCCTATTGGTGTTATATACTAGTTATGGTTTTCGACATAAGTAGCCTACACCACAATATTAGTGTGAAATCTGTTAAACTGGATTTATGAATTTATACCAATAAACAACTGGACATACACCTTTTATTAAACTTGTTTAATTTAGTTACTTTATTTTACTTTTAGACGAAATTGTTTTTTTCATTTTGAAAAATCTTCTTAGTTCATGCGCCATTTGTAGTAGAATCCAATAGGTGTGTTCTGTTCTGTTTAAAATTTATTATTTGGATGCACCTGGATCCCAACGTTGACGTTCGCACTGGGACTCAAACCAAGAGCTCATAGCTTTAAACATCACATTATTAACTAACCTACTGTGCTTGGGAAGTCAATAATTTAAATTATAGGTTGTTTGAAATTTAGAGCTTATTATGCTAAAGAGTTAATACTATTCACTCACTTTAAAGCCTTCTAGTTTTTCTGTTCGTTTAGGTTGTTGCCAAGTAACCTTCACACTAGTATCATCTCCAGAACAAAATAAACCACGTACTGAGAAATCACTTTCACCATTACTGCTGGCTAGTCGACTAATTACCGGTTGACTGCAGTCACCATAACGACCATCTGGTCCACGTGATTTAATACAAATTACGTAACTCGTTTTACTTTCTAAATGACTTATAATGGCCATATTAACTGGGCCAACATCAAATGACGTCCATTGACCCGATTCATAAGGATTATTATTGGCGGAATAGAGTAGACGAAAACCTTGTATTGAGATTTGTTTACTGCCTACACCACTTTGATCTTCACGTGTTGGTATACGCCAGGTTACTTTGATTTGATGTTGGTTAATTCTTGAGGCTTGAATATCTAATGGTGGAGGTGGTACTAAAAATCATTTTTTTATTTAGAGGAAAAAAAGAATAAGAAGGAATGTCATTTCTGAGCACTTCATTTGTGACACGTGTTAATAGAACATCAAGATTGAGGAAATTATTCCACTTTTAAAATACTTCAAAACACGGAACGAAATTGACTAGACATTCACTGAAAATCAAGTATGGAATCTTATACCTATTTCTAGCTACTCATCGATCATGAGTTGAACAAACGATCTTTAAGTCTTACGCTAAGATTATTGATTTTAGGTCACTGAGTTAGGATCTAGTAGTTCGTAGTTTTATAATCTCTCAATAGCATCTGAATCTCATTTCATTATTCATAAGAAATAATTCAACGTACTATTTCAATCGTATATTTCTTTTCATAACTATTCGCGAAAGACTTTTTTTTTCGTTTTATTTTATACATTATCTCGGCATATCTAGTTAAGATATTGATAACAATCAGATTGTATTATTGTAGAGATAAATGATTAACCAATCAAATGTCTCAATAGAATAGATTATCAGTTGTTATGTGAAGTTCCTATTTATTTTCATTAATCGATATTTTCGTTTAAAACAAATCCTAATAATTTATACATAAATAATGACGTATTAATGCTTACACTCAATACTTGTACGTATATTACTTGCACCAGACCAAGGTCCAGGTCCAGCTGAAGTAAATGCTCTAACCATAAATGTATAAAATGTTTTCTCTTTTAATCCTCTTGCTGTATATTGTCTTTGTCCTGGTACTGTCACTTTGATTATAGTCTCAGTTTGTGTTTCAGCACCAACTTCGAAAATTCTGACTTCATAACCAGTAAGTTTCCCATTACGATATTGTACTGGAGGTGGAGCCCAGCTAACTTCAACGGAACTTGATGATAAACCACTTAAGCGAACATGTAATGGACTGCTAGAAGGAGCTAGAAAAAAGTAGCAAATTAAGTCGAATATTTTTACTAATTGTTTAAACAAAATCTAAAACACAAGTGAAATGTGAATGTAGAAGGTCAACTACTTAGACCTTTTTTAAACATATTAGTTTTAGCGAATAAGTACAAACTTATCTTTAAAAGAAGGGTCTTTTGGAACGATGTGTCCACAGTTAATTAAATGCTCCTGTATCGAACTGGTAATTATTTTACATTCTCCTTTTAAGAGCCAGACAGGAGAGTGTTCCGAGTTGCGTTTGTGCGGCCTATGTAACGTGTCCCATATGAACAAATAAATTTATATATACACATTGGTGTGGCCGAAAGCGGACGGTTGTCCTTAACACATCCCAGAATGGTAGGTCGGCTAGAGAAAACAATTTGGAGCTTATCTGCGTAGAATGTTTTATTCAACGATTTTGTAACCCGTTTATTTCATCTTCCACAGACCCTCATCAGAAATGGTTATCGACCTACATTCGTCGATAGCAACTTTACATCCAAACTTCATGAAAAACCATCAACAGTACAGAAGAAAACTCTGTTTATGAATATGGAATTGAAAGGAGACACGGCTGCTGAAATTCTAAATAAATGGATTTCAAAATCGTTGAATAAAACATTCTACGCAGATAAGCTCCAAATTGTTTTCTCTAGCCGACCTACCATTCTGGGATGTGTTAAGGACAACCGTCCGCTTTCGGCCACACCAATGTGTATATATAAATTTATTTGTTCATATGGGACACGTTACATAGGCCGCACAAAGCGATCACTATCCAAACTCAACTCGGAACACTATCCGACCTGGTTCTTAAAAGGAGAACATAAAGCAAACTTATATCTTTATCATTTATATCATTTTTCTTTCCACTTTATTTGATGTAAGTTGTCTGATGAGTTGTTTGATGTCACATGAATATATATAAACTTACGATCTAGTATGTATGTAAGTAATGAGTAGCGCCAAAAGAAGAATAGGAAATAGATAGGATGATATAGTAAACAGATATCATATCAATATTTTATAACCATTATAATTTGCTTGTTAATATATATATATATATATATATATATATATATATATATATATATATATATATGTACGCGTTTATCCATATTGAAGTGTGTAAAAACAGCATCCAGTTAACATTATCATAAAATCTACTTTAACCTAAGAACAAACATCAAAACCAAAATCTGTGATTTGATCTATGCTGGTGATGTGACAGATAAAACAAATTTTTTTCTAGAAAAATAATATGAAGAACCCTACTAGATAAAATACTACCAAGTGATATTAGCCGACTTGTAAAGTGTGAAATACACAAGGGTATACTAAGACTAAACTAAAACTAAAACTAAACTGGCTATCATGTGACATTTGAGATAATACTGATATGGTGAATTATTGTTTCTTTTTTTCTGCTCATACTGATGTAAAAGATTTTATTCTATAGCCTACAATTAAATGTAATCATGATAATTTATATTCTTTGATTAGTCTTATAGTTTTTCAATAGATTTCAAATTACTTATTCCGACCTTAGCGACCCAACATCATACAATGTATTTGCATTATTGAACACTAAATCAAAATGAGACAACTCATATTGTTTCATATTGAAAACCCCAAGTTTATAATCAATATTACTGAAACTACTTCTCACATTCATTACGATTTATCATCAATTTTAGTATATCTAAAACATTTACGAAGTTCTACCATTATTATAAAAAAAATATATATCCATGATATACTACTGAATAATACTAATATAAGTTCATACAAAATCCAATCCTAGTTATTTAATCACTATAATATGGAATAATTCATGTGAAATATGAGGATAGGAATTCAATTATTTCTTTGAACTGATGATATCATTAACCATTGTATTGTGGTTTAAAGGTTAGAATTTTTTTTTTCTAGAATTTTTCACAATTATTAATTTATAGATGTTGCTTTCATTCTAATTACAATTGGAATAAATTGAATTATGTTTAAAAGAATAACAAAATTAAAAATATGAAGAACATCATGTGGTTGCCTGTAGTTTCAAGTTTCCCTTTCATTTGTCCAGAACAAGTTTCTATGTAAAAATATGAAATAACTTCAGATTTTTGATAGAAAATTGTTGTGCTTAATTAAATTATCATAACAGAAAACATTTTTTTCCAGTTTGTATGTTTTGTAATGGTGTAGTGCTGTTTGAGCTAGATGATTTGATTGGTTTGAATACTATGCTTCTAGGAGTCAGTCTTTCTGAGATTTTCTTTTATACATTGGTTTCAATTCATTATATGGTGGTTTATTTGCATAGATATAAGTGATAACATTTCATATAATCTCTTTGACGATATGTGTTCATGTATACATCGATGAAAGTCTCAATGACATTCTAGATCGAGGAAACTTTAAGAGCTCAAGAGAATGTCTAGGAGTACAGAACTTAGATTAAAATTGAGGATCAACAGCCATACTGATATCGATTCAGTCTATTAACTCATGCGGAAGTGGTCAATCAGCCACACGGTAAGAGGCAAACTGAAGAACACAGTTGATATCAATACAAGAACATATTAAGTCAAAACGTAGATGTAGACAACGAGCTACGATTAAGATCATTAGTAAGAAGTGATCTAGGTTTTGTGGAATAACTTGAATAGCTCATATCCGACTGATATAATGGAAAATAATGTTATGCACAACAACAGTGAAAGGCCTTCAATCAAGCTCAGAAAATATGGCATCACCAAAATCATCCACCTGAGCTGCAGATCTATTCAATAATTCAGATTATCATGTAAACAAACGCAATCGATAGTTCCTGTTAATTCACGTATGTATTCCATAGTATTATTTACGAAATTTTTCTTAATGACTCTTAGAAACCAGGTAAAGATTTCGCAGGGTATTTACAATTTTCCATAACTAATACTCATACTGTATAGCATCAACAGGGTTTCCCTTAAAATCCTATATGTGACAGAAACGGTTTACTACTAATAAAAAAATTAAATAGAAAGGTATTTGAGAGTAATAGACTAACGAATGACAAATTTTACTCTCAAATAATGAGTTAGAAGGTTTTTATGTCATTCATCTGTCTTTATTTGGGCTCCCAAGTAGTTCGCACAAATTTTGACTTACAGTCCTACATTCAAATATGTATATGATTAAAGAATATGGATATTATTTCAGCAAGAATATTGAGATTACTTTTAACTAACTGATATAACTTACATTTTAGTATGAAGATCAATATAGTAACTGATGCTGTTCAGTTAAACATTTACTACTTACTCATGTTACCCCTAATGGAGGAGCATAGGTCACCAACTCTGTCCCGAGCAAACCTCTCTAGTTGCTATTGATTTTTTTCATGCCTGCTTCTTTAGCCTTCCTCATTTTTGTTTCCCCTCAAGATTCCATGTTAGCACTTACCTTGTGATGTTTCATGATTTCCTCAATGTGTGTCCTATTCACTTATAAGGTTTTTTCATAATATCCCTTTCAGCTGGAAATTGGTCTACTTTCTCCCACAGTAGGCTGTTGCAGATGGTACCCGGCCAACGGACATCCAGAATCTTACGCAGACAATTGTTTAGCAATTTTTGCACTTTTTGATTATAGCTGTACAGCTCCGAACAGTAGAAATATTGAAGATTCTGACTTTTATATTGGTTGACAGTTGTTTTTAGTTCTATATGTTCTTCAAATGTAGGAATGCTGCCCTTACTTTGCCAACCCCTGTCTTTACGTCTGCATCAGATCCTCCACGTTCATTGATGATGCTACTCAGATAAGTGAGGCTTTCCACCTCTTCCAGAGCATCTCTATCAAATGTAATTGAGTTGATGTTCTCCGTATTGTAATTCAGGATCTTGCTTTTTCTCTTTTGTATGTTGAGGCCTACTGATACAGAGGCTGTTGCTACATTTGCTTATAAAAATTTCATAATACTTAACTATTTATGTAAAAGTTATGTGATAATACTAGATTCTCCTCTCCTCTAGTAAAAACATTAATGAAAATAACAATTTCTTTTTCATGTAAATTACGAAATGGTTTATGTGATAGACGTTTTTATCATGATAAGAGTATAACATGTAATTTTCTTTCTGTGTCAAATATTTTTGTTAAAAAAATGGGGGTTACACTGTTTTCTTTTTTTGATGAAGGTCGTTTTTATGATTAAATAGTATAGTGAGGTAAAGCCTAATATGAAAACATTTTCTTATATTATATCCATTAAAATATAATTACTTTTTTGATAGATGGGAACTTATTTTTCTTCCATTCCCTGTAACATTATTTTAATACTTAAAAGTATGGGGTGATAGTGATTATTGAATTTGATTAAGATCATAAACTGATATTAGTAAAATAACCAGTGAAAGCATGGAAGCAGTGAATGACTATTTCGTCCTAATATGGGACTTAATACTAGTGGGCATTCATGACCTTGGGACCAGGGGTCGAGCACAGAACTTAGGGTTTCAGTCACGAATTTTCAACCTACAAAATAATAAGCTGAAATCCAATAACATATAAGCCTAACTTCAGTCAGTCCATCATACTGTGAGACTATATTGCATTATCTTTGTTTGGTACCTTCTTCATACCGGACACGTTTTGCTCTTTCTTTCTTGTATTGATTTAAATAAGATATTTACCATACAAACGATCCATTCAATGTGATACTCCATTGATGTTTATAAACAACTATTTTACATGAGATTACTTGTGTATGTACTTGCTAACTGATTAGTTTGTACTGTTTATGAATGCTGATATGAATTCAATTTATATGTGCAACTTGAGAAATACTATGAACGTAGAAAATAATAAGCTATACGTTGAAATGACTTTGTCAAATAATTGTACTGTTTATTAATATATCAGTTGAAATTATAGTGATTTGTACGTTTTTAACATTTACTGATCAAGAATATTTATAGCACGTAAAATATCAAACTTTAAATGGTTAGTCACTGTATATATATATATATATATATATATATATATATATATATATATGAATCGATTTTTTGTTACTATCCAAATGAGGTTCAGTTCTTCTGTTGTTGCTTTTTTATTTAAATTGATCATTGGTCTTTGTTGGCGTATAAGCTGGATGTTCATTATGAACTGATATATCTGATGTAAAAAACTATTTAAAAATCAGGAAATATTAGTTAATTGCTTAGTCAAAGTTTGAAACGCGTCAAAGGTATGCATACATAACAGATATTACAACAGAATCGTTTAAAGCCATTAAATTATAATTTTGTTTGGATGATAAATAGCCCTTAGTGACAATATTGTTAACATGTTTCAGAGTTTTTCTGGTTATTAAATAATAATTTCATACTTTTAAACAAATTTTCATAATAAAAATCACTTTTAAATTGAATTAAATATTTTTTTTTAAAAAATGTTTTGTTAAATTAACTCACGTGCATCTGGTGTAGTCACCTCTAATTGAGCTGTAAGACCTACTGAACTTGTATTCATAAGTGCAACTTCAAATAAGTAGGTTAATCCATAACCTTTAAATTTCAAGAATAGTAAATAGGTTAGATTTTGAATATATAATATGACTTCAATAACTAGATTTATCTAAAATTGATTTGAACCCTATAAATGCTCACTATCCCCTTTTTTTTGTATTCGATAAATTAAAATTTCCAATATTTTAAAACTAAATCAGAAATTTCATGGAGTAGTAAATGTTAACCTTTGGATGTTGATATATTGATGCAAATGAAATGTGCTCACTTTAGAATATTAAGGTTCTCAGTTCAATCTCAGAGAGAGAGAGAGAGAGAGAGCTATTGAGAAGTCACAATTATTGATGATGAAGCAGTTGTCCACTGTTTCTTGATTTCAATGATTCCTCTCAAATTTAGACTAACCTCTATTACCAACAATATATACAGGGAAATGAATAGTTTTAGAATGTTATAATCATTGGAAATATAGACTATTTTCGGAGATATTTGTACCATATAATTTGACTATTCATAAAATTATTGAGACATACCAGACATTGAATGGCTGTTCCATCGACGACCGATACTGCTCATCAGTCCACATTCAAAACTGTACAGAGAGAAGAACCGATGACTTCTAGATCCCCCGGTGACCACAAAATTATTGATGTAAACAATTATACACCTTAATAACGATTTATGTTCGACTTCAGGTGAGCTTTCAACACGTTAAGGCAATAAATTATATTTTAAAGTTTATTCGAAAGATATTTTAACATTGTGTGATGTAGATCGTCAAAAGTATTCGTGAACACTTGATCCATCATTTAAAGTTTAGAACTTTAGTGAATCTTTAGTAATGTATACTCTCATCCTTTTACTGATGTGAACAGATGGTAGTTACCTAGTAAATAATAGACACAATTCTCTGTAAAATTCGGCGAATAGCTAAAGGTAAATATATAAAATCAATGAATAACTCCTTAACTAATATGTATCAGTGTAAATGTATCATTTCTAGTTATATTGAACTTGATATGACCATCTGTCATCTAAATATTGATAAAAGTGTTTACTCAGACTTATTATAGTCTTTATAGTTTGTGTTTCAACAGTAAATGTAAGACAGTGTTTCCTTTGGCTAAATACTATCAAAAGATCAAATGGGCCATATGTTAGAAAATACTAATAAATAAAACTAGTAACACTTTATTGAGTTCATTCAAACACCGTTGTTGTTAAATGTAGAAAGGAGATCGCTGAAGGTATATGATTTAGATTTAATACAAGTAATCTGATAATTCATATTAAATGGCGTACGAAATTAGACCTACAATGTTTATCTTGAATAAATTGGGTTAAGAAAACTGAATCTAATAATTACATTGAAGTAACCAATTATCGGTTAAATTGTGTATATAATATAATATAGCGTTGTGAAGGCTATTGAACTTTATTATTTCAATCACTAACTGATCTGATTTAAGTAACCAATCAAAACAAGGAAGCAATAGACAGTTGTTTGGATTTAATATGGGACCCTTAAGTAGTGCTCACCCACCACCCTACTGGGAAACAAACCTAGGACCTTCGAAGTGAGTTATCAACAGGTAGATAACTGAGTCGGCAATTAGTGATGAGAATGCTGAATTCTAATAATTTCTCAACAGCGCAAAACAATTTATGCTGAAGAATCCGATCCTATGATAAAACAACTGTCCTGTGCTTCCAAGATTTTTCCTTGATGTAAACTACGAAATGCAATTTAATTATTTGGGGATTACTTTCCGTCATTTGACATTGAAAATGAAATGTTTGATTCAACAATTGATTTTTGTGCCGTATCAGTGTTCACTACTGAATACCAGTCAGTCAGTTATAAGTAACTTAGGTCTTGGTACATATGTAGACCGGTTGTACTAGTTTTAGTAAAAGAAGAGACCATTAAGCAAGGTGAATTTGTCTTGAGGTGAATAAATGAATTTAGAGAATAAAAAGTAAAAAATAATCTTGAAGTTAAATATTTAAAGGAAGGCGAAAGATGAATGCATCCAAGCTATTATGAATGATTCTAATCCCTGTCAATCAGGGTCTTCAATCATTTATTTATGGGAATTGAAAGAGCTTCCACTACCATGGATCAAAACAACAGTTGATCAGTTGGTCAACTAGTTTCATAATTCAGTTTGGCGGCTGATGTATACTGAACTGTAGCAAAATACTAATCCAGATCCTTCTTATCTGAAATAGCTCTCTTAATATAATGACTTTGTTAATATAAATCATTTCTTAAACATTTTTGTTATAGTCGTTGGGATACCTTCTGTAATCCAAAGCCGTCTACAAGAAAATTCAGTGTACTGGAGTGGTGCCTTAAAAAATGAAGACAATTTAGTTGATTACTCTTGGTTTAGTTATCTGATCAACAAACGTTTGATTTATTTTTTGGCAGTTTTTCTCAGACTACCCTATTCATTATTTTACTTGTGTTAGATTTATTATTGTTTAACCATTTTTACTACATTTTTGACAAATCGACTTTATGGTGAAATTAATGAATCAGTTGAAGCTAGACCACCATGGAAAACTTGGAAGCACTGGACGGCCGTCTCGTCTTTGCACTGGACTCTTCAGCAGTGCGCATCCATGATTCCGCCCTGCGGGATTTGAACCCAGGACCAATCTGTCTCATACGCGATCGCTTAACCATTAGACCACTGAGCCGGCATCCAACTGTGTTAATGTCTAACTTCAACTAATCCACCAAATTGAGCGGCACATTCGCCATTGTTTTCAGTGAGTCACTGTCTCACAACAAACCCGGTTGAGCTCCACTGGTCACTGTTTCTCACTAGAACCCAGGGAAATACCTCTTCAAGCCAGTCACTAGTGAGCATACGATGATTATTATCAGAAGCACCAAGCAGTTACCCACTGAAAACAATGTTGGACGTTAGCGCAATTTGGTGGATTAGTTGAAGTTAGACATTAACACAGTTGGATGCCGGCTCAGTGGTCTAATGGTTAAGCGATTGCGTATGAGACAGATTGGCCCTGGGTTCGAATCCCGCAGGGCGGAATCATGGATGCGCACTGCTGAAGAGTCCAGTGCAAAGACGAGACGGCCGTCCAGTGCTTCCAAGTTTTCCATGGTGGTTTAGTTTCAATTGGCTTATGAATTCCACTATAAAATCTCCACAAAACCCCTTCTGATAAAATTCAAAATTTCCCTATTTGTTGAAGAATCAATCATAAAAAATTCTCTGAAGTGTAAACAAAAAAATGATACATTCTGATAGAATTTAATGAGTATATTACTAACAAGATTATTTCTTGAATACATATTCTCATTATTAAGTAGCTTGTGAATCATAGTGTTCAAGTGGATTTCTAATTGTTTTATACCTAAGGGTAATTAATTAGTTTATTTATAAATTGTATGGTGTTCCTTTATTGCCAATTAGTTTATGAATAATCAAGTACACATTCTCAAAACAGTCGACTTTAAGGTATATTTCTTATGTAATGGCTCATTATTCTATCAAAACAAAAATAAATAAAGTAATAATTGAACCTATAATTCAATGATCTGTAATTAAATACTGTGGAACATATATTACCTATCGTTGTGCTGTTTGGGTATTATATCAAAATAAAATGATAACAATTATTTCCATCTCTTACATAACACAACAACTATAAATAAATCAATAAAAACATATCATATTACATGTTGGTTCAAGGTTGGATTAGAACATATTTTAATTTAACTAACTAAATCTGACAGATTACATTTGATCTGTCAGATTCATTTTATGTCTACCTATACTATTCAGATTTTCTTTTTAAATAAAATGGGTTTTTTTTATCCAGTATTGAATGACCTCCTAGTGGTATTGTAGTGAACAGAACACAATCGAATTGTATTTAGCACCAAATCACAGAGTTACTTAGTAAAATAGAAAAACTATATAGTAAATAGTTAATTTGCTAAATATCAATCCATCATATAAAACCAGACTGTTCCTGTTGCAATTATCAAATCATTGTCTCACATTTCATTGTTCATGCGTTTTCTTACAAATTGTATTATGTTCTCGCTCTTCCTTTCTTGATCTTCCCCCATCTTCTGATCAATATAAGTAGCACGCACCACAGAACTGCTTTAGATATTCATAAATTTTGAAATCAATTCATGTTTAACTGATATGATTTTCTGGATTTTTCGTTTTATAGATTTGTGAAGTAACTTGTTAAGGATTTATTTCTTAAGTTGTAAGCCAAATGTAGTAAACTTTATTATTGAGGTATTTACTAAACCACATACTAAAGTAAATGAAAAATGTATTTCTGTAATTTTTATACAGGAAAGGTTTATAAGTTGTGATGAATAGCAAGTTAAATTGAAATTTTCACATTATACAATTTTACTTACCAATCCTGTCACTTTCTGATGATCTAAATGTATTTCCAGTAACATTGGCTAGCAATCTCCTTTGTAATAATGGATGGCCACCTTCACGTTCTAAACTGGATCCATATAATTCACTGGAACTTAAAGTAGTATCTGTTAGTTCTTCTATTAATTCTTGTGGACCTATCAGTCTAACAAATACTTGATAACTTATTTGTTTTGTGGTATGTAGACCTTCAGGAGGATCCCATGCTAATTCAACACATAAATATGGTAGGTCTACTTGTCCATGTACACCAGCTTGATCTGTTCGTGATAATACTGATGTTAAACGAGTTCTTTTGTGTATGTCCACAAGATGTAATTTTCTTGGTTTCATTGGGACTACAAGTTCAAAGGACAAAAGAGTATGGTTAACATTACATTAGTCATTTCTTAAAATGATTGAAAATGCACGAAATTCTCCATTTTAAGACAGGTTAATTCAAGGATTATCGTTACTGAAGGCGTGAATAATCATAACAAATAACAAATTAACATCTTGTTGGTTTTATAAAAATTCTGAGGTAAACCAATGAAAGTACACAGACAAATGTGGTAGATGATCTGTTTTTTTAAGAGAAACAATACAATTACTGAAGATTGAACTATATTCGTTATTAAAGCATTAGATTTTATTATTCATTTATTTATTAGTTTGATAATATTTACTAAAAGGAACTATACTATCATTGTTAAATAACTACACAAATGTTCATTTCTGATCAATCTTCTGACTGAACGCTTGAATCGGCTTCTTAATCTCTTCTAATAACCGCAGGTTAAATCTGCACGACAAATCGAACACGAGAAAAAAAGGCGCAAATTAGGGAAATAACGCTTCACTCCAATGTTCGTTTATGAACAGGAAATTTAGGGTATTTATAGCGTTTCATATGACTTTGGGCTTCCGGAAGGTTCCAGAACGCTACTAAACTTAGCAGCATGATAGGTAATCATTCAATCAGAAATATGACTCGTGACTCTTCACTTTCCAGGTGTTTCTGAGAAATTTATATTCAATCCTGATTGGATAGATTGTTTCTCAGCGTTTTCAGTGCCCCCCCCCCTGGATAATTTTCTAGGAGTATTCTGGATCTCTCTAATAATTTCATTTTTAGTTTAGTAAAAAACATATAACAAACGTATTTTCTTTGTCACTGGATTGTAATACAAATTTATTACTTTCTTCAATATAAAAATTGAAATGAGTCACAAGATTTTTGAAAGAAACAAAGACGCTGAACAAAGTGTCTCACTTTTGTCTGTTGTCTTCGCTGATATTGTTCAATGCAACAATTTATAGTTGCACAATTTTAGGTGCGTTTTTTTAAACTTTAACAAAATGAACGATACAACTAACATAACATAAACAGTTTTTAGAAACTTAAAAAATTAAGAATTTATAGTCAGTGGATTTTTGATGAGGAATTTTATGGATGAATAATAATAATAATCTACGCGTTTCAGTCACCAAATGTAATTCAATATTATTATCATAGCTAAACCACCATCAAAAACTTGGAACCATTGGACGGTCGTTTCGTCCCGGGATGGGATACCTCATCAGTGCGCATCCACGAACTTGAGACCTCCAATCTCGCGTGTCAGTGCACAACATCTAGATCCATGTGTAGTCGTCTGATGGCGTACATGTCTAACTTCAATCAGTTTCACAATAGTAGACTTAAATCATTACGACTGGAGATCAACCATATCTAGTGTGAAACAACTATTCACCGAAGGTAATTGATGAGGGTCCCGGAGTATCTTGAATTGCTTGGAGTTAAACATGTGCAGCATTAGTTGCCAGTTCACTGGTATGGAGATTATGTGTTAACGCGCGAATGTACACTGCTGAGAAGTCCCATACCAAGATAAATTACCTATCCAATCCTTAATGGTTTTCAATGGCTATCTGACTATTATCAATAAGTGACGTAAACTATGAGGTAAGCCTAAAAGAATTAAAGTATGTTTAAAATTAAAAAGAATTTCGTAACTTATTCAAGTCATATTATTTATTTTGTAGTTCAATAATCATGGGCTAAACGGTAAGTTTAACGTATTTTTAAAAATAATTCATCCAAAACTTTAATCTTGTCAGTGAATCAGGTCAGAATTAGTAACTAAGTGGTAGAGTGTTTTATGTCTAGACTTCTATATAATGGAATAAGAAGTTGTGTAATGAAAATACTACCTCAGCAAAGTTAGTTCGACTAAACATTTCAAGTAATAAACATAACTTAACTAAGTAAATAATTTCGCTGTTTTCCATACTGACTGATTATTAGAAATTGAAATATAATGTTATTCATTTTGTTAAATAAAACAACAACCGAGAGATGTACTACAAGATAATTTCGAAGAAAATCACATAAACTACTAATCTAAGTTGGCAACTATTCCACAATAAGTTACATTTGATGAAAAAAATGTGTTTTCATTCCCCTTATCTTACATCTAATAAATCAAGTTTTTTTCCATGGATTCATATGGTCAGTTACATAACATGTTATACTTTAACTGTTTACAAATGAAAAGAGATAACAATCTTATTGTACACTAAGTTGAAAATTGAAAATGGACGGATGCCAATACAGACTGTTTGTTGATTATGGGATGGAACCTAATCTATCCTTTAAGCTTCATATAAAGTATTTGAAAATTATGTAATTTATTTCATTTTGCGTTAACAGAAACCAATTAACAATCAATCATAATTATATGACTAGACAAGTCAGATTCAAATGGTCAAATTTAAGGTCAAAGGTTATATTATACACTTGATGATCAAAATATACCGATAAGTATCGGGAGAGGTTTTGTGGAAATTTTAGTAATTTAAGTAGTTGAGATCATGAGTCGATTGAAGCTAGACCACCATGGAAAAGGTCGAAGCACTGGACGGCCGTTTCGTCCTATTATGGGACTCCTCAGTCTATCGTGAATTTAGAAGCTATAGAATGTAATGTACTGAAGCTAGTCATAAGAATTTAATTAAAACCCCAAAAGGTGATTGTTGATATGTATCTTTTGTTAATTAAATGAAATTCACTACTATTTAACATAACAATACATTAAATTTAAGGCATGACGTATAAACTCTCATTCCAATTGATGTTCATTACTAGACTTTTTCAGCAGTAAGAATCAGATCAATTTAATTTCTCATTGTAGACTTAGACGTTATAACTAGGCTTCTATTTTACAACAGTTAACATTTTAAATTCACTTGGTGGTGTTTTACTTGTATCTTCCTATTGTCATTTAGGACTGCAATTAATCAGTCTTATGGTGGCATGTGTGCATCCTGTGCGGATTGTCTCGATATAGCCTTAAGTCACAAGCTTTTTAAGCAGAGATGGATAGCGGATAGCAGTGGAATCCAGAACGCGCGTTTCATCCTAGTTAAGTGGATAACGTGATGGCGTTTGGAGCGGACGGTACTGAGGTCGAGTCCTGGAGTGAACATCAACTCGGGTGCAGGTACATCCAGCTGACACTTAACATTTTAGTTTGTTATATATTTATTTGAAAGTCTACATGCTAACTGGCCAGTAAATAATAACCAATACCGTTTTGTCGAGTAATTATTTTTGACTGCATTCTTTAGACCATGTTACAAGTCTCGATGAATATATTTTAATACTGAATAACTGCAAGTAACTTATTTCTCATGGTAGTTGAAATTTGTCCAAAAGGTACATCTACAAACTTGTAGGGAGTGATATTAACCACAATATTTGTATACATATCAACCATAGTCAAAGTGAACTCATTGAATTGAGATAGATATTTAAATGTATATTTCATGTACTACTACACATGTGTCAAATCTGTCGCTACAATGCTATGAATCATTATTTTCTTTATAAAACAAGGCTTCAAAAATGGCATTTCTCAAATATAACATTAGAAATGTTATACTAATAAACCCTTTATTTTATATGTTCACCTATTACTCTTTTTTTTTTTGTTTATGTACCGTTTTAAATTGAGTATTCGGTGTGAAAAAAAATTTTATTTTCAGTTTATTCTATTCGTTTATATAGGAGAGTAATTCTTGGTAAATTTATTTAGATGATTAAGAAAGGTCAATAAGTGAAACTTATTATGAGGACAAAAGAATAAGAAATTTGATCAATTTTAAGGTCATTAAATGTGAGAAAAATCTAAAAAATAATATTTTAGATAAAAATGTAAATGGTGCATAGTAACTTATGTCAAAGGCTGGATTTAATTCGACAGCCATTGAAAACCAGAAAGCATAAGGTATTATATATATAATCCAAGCACGGGACTCTTCAGCAGCGTGCATCCTTGGTTGAACCTAAGACCACTGAGCCATCATTTAATAGTTTACACTTTTAGTCTCCATCGATTTACTATGCAACACAGCAATCTTTCACTGTTATTGGCATATAACTGTCTCAAATTGACTGGCCGGGGCTTCTTATTAGGAATTTGAGAACTACCTCTCGAGTGTAGTTAACAGTAGTCATTTGATTGTTAGTTTGTAGAGATTGCTGAGTTTTATATCCTAAATTAAAAACATTAGTCCTTGACGAAAATCATAAAACTCAATAATCTTTACGAACCTCTCGTGTTAATAAAGTAGTTTACTTTGATGTTTGTAGGGTTTGTTTAATTTAGTTACGGTTATCATTATAAAACTGTACTTGTCAAAAACAATAGAATACTGAATAGGTGTTTCTTTCTAGATAAAATTAAAACATCTTAATAACGAGCAATAATAACTTCATAAACGAAAAGAAACGTTTAATCTTAAGTTTGTTCAATGAACATCATATCATTCATCTGTTGATGTATAATTTCTTAGTTTAGTTTTCTCATTTCATCTCATTATTGGTTTGATTAGACTGTTATTCAATGTAATTGGTTCTTACTGGTGAAAAATGTTTACAAACTGAAGTTGGTGAGTCATCTAATAATCATTAGTTTTCGATTTAGATGAAGATCACCAACATAATCAAATTTTTATCACATCTCTAAATACATGTCATTATTTTTAGTAAAGGTTAGGAAACCAACTTTACATATATGAATATTAGTTGTAAAATGCAAATGGTTGTACACATTTAAAAGTTTAAATAAAACTTTTGATCCCTTAGCTGAATGATGAAATGTTTTTTGTATTCATATTACTGAACAGTTGAAAATTACATTGGAATCATGAACAGATCATTGTTAGATCACCAGTGAAGACCAGGAAGCACTGGGCGGCCACTTCATATTAGTATGGGCTTCCTCAGTAGTCTGCGTCCCTGATCTCGCTTCTAAGTTTTTCATGGTGGTCTAACGTTGATTGGTTTATAATTTAA